AGAGATAAGTTATATATGATTGGTAGATTACTTTGGTAAACAGTTATATATTTTGTATATTTGTAAGACTCTGTGATTCTTTTGGATTTTAGTCAGTGTTGGGGTTTTTGTTTTTAGTCCACATATATTTTGATTAAGGAATTCCTTTGCAAAATAAAACTCATTGTGGGTTACTTTACTTTATTTTGCTAGGTGTTTTGAAGGAGTGAAGCTCTCTATTTTGGCTTGGAATAATAATGGAAGAAGAGTGTTCATAGGACTCGTTTTGGCTCAAAATGACATTGATAGTATGTAGTAGAGCTTAATTATGTTATTGTTGGAACTCGGTAGAACTCTTTTGGCTCCTCAATGTCATTATGTGGTACCGGTACTAGAACTTAATTTTATAATATGTAATAATTAACTCAAAATGACATTGATAGTATGTAGTAGAGCTTAATTCTTTTATTGTTGGAACTCAGTAGAACTCTTTTGGCTCCTCAATGTCATTATGTGGTACTGCTATTAGAGCTTAATTTTAAATGACATTTTAGATTTGCCTGAATCATATTTAAGCCCAAACGTTGGTGCTGGTGTAAAAATCGTATTAATGACTTTTGTTCTTTTTCCTTTTTTCTTCAGTATAATTTCAACTTTTTAAAATCAAGAAAAAATCATAGTCTTGGAAAACTGAACTCAAGTCTAATTATGCTGTGTTAAATTTTAAGCAAAATATAGTTGGTTTTTAAAAGTGAAAAAAAAAGAAAAAAGTGTAGTAATAATATCACTAAAAAAGTGTTCCTTCTCCTCTAGTCCTCTCTGACAACCTGCTGCTGTAAACTGAAGAGAAAGGAAAGCATTCCAACTTTTCTTTTGTTTTCGTACCAATCAGTCAAACGAGTTTCTCCCTATCCCTGACCCAAAACAAAAAAAATTCATGTATTTGTTGTAAGCTACAAGCCTAGAAAGTCTTTTCAGTACACTTTGCATTAATTTTGCAGATACTGTCCGATTTTCTTTGTTTCCATCGTTCCTTTAGAACCATATTTCAACAGTGCAAGCATTTTTTAATATATGTTTATTTTTTAACTGTATATACACATTTTTTGTGTTTTTCTACCATAGTTTTCAAGGAAACAATAATTTATGAAATTGAGTAACAAACAAATTATTTTTTAAAAAGAAACAAAAACCCATACGTGAAAACAAGTTGATTCAAGTAAAGCCGTTGTGTTTTTATTGTGGCAAACGGCAATCAACAACCATGAACATTGAGCAGTTAGGGCTAGTGGCTACCCCATTGTTTTAGTCAACTTAATCCAGTTGATCCACTCTAACATCAATTACCACCTATCGGTATATTTGAGGTGGAAGACTGGTGGGGTAAAAGTAAAACCCCAAAGTCCAACTACTCTAATTGACTTATATCTAACAAAGTCGTGCAGTTGAAAATTGTTGTTACTCTATAGTAGTAAGTATCACGCCAGGTTGAGCTCAAAATTGGAAAAATTGGCAGCTACAATACTAGAGAAATAATACTGATCATGAAGACTGATCTTTCAAAAAAGGGTCGGTGTAATGTAACAATCGTCCGGATGAATAGTATTCACGTATAATGATATTCTAGTAATAAGTAGCCCTTGGTCTGTTGTAACCCTCGTTCATGTATTTGCCACGATTTCACAAGAATTCCGATGTGTGGAAAAGGTTACAGAAGAGAAACACCATAAACCCTAATATAATCCAGGAGATAAGTCAATTGGGCCATTGGGGTAGAAAGAGAGAATAGGGTTCAGATTTAATTAATTCCTCCATAGTCCATTTTACAATAATGACAATACTGCATATATTTCCTCCTAATAAAATACTCTCTTTCGTCTTTAATATGAGTCATTTTGATTTATCAATAATTTTACTTAGGATATATTTTTAATTGAAGAAAAAAAACCTTTAAAATATATTTTCATATTCTTCGTATTCTAATTATTAGAAAGTATTTCTAATTTTTTTGTCAAATTAAAATTACATACTAGGTGAAACATATAAATCAAAATGTCTTATATTAAAGATCGGTGAGAGTATAAACTAACACAATAACTGGACAACATTATTACAAAGGCTAGTGATATTGACAACGCAATTTTTAGATTCCAGAGCAAAATTGACCCTTTTTTTCCCAAATTGTCCTCATGAAGTCAAAACACGGGTTTTTTTTTATTAATTATAATTATTATTTTCTTCCCCTCCTTTTGGGACCAGAAGAAGACAATCAATATATTCTAATTCTTATCTATTCAATTCTTTTTTCGGGCCCGGGTTGATTGCCGATTTCTCAGCCGCAAGGGCAAGGGCAAGGGCAACGGCGGCGGGAACAGCTCAGTGAGGCCTTCACCCTTTAAATAAAGGTAGGGTTTTAATTTGCGACACCTTGTTGATTTATTGTGATCTGTTCCGATTAGGTTTTGTGGTGGTATCCATGAGAATGGTTTATGGTTGTGAAAAAAGTAGGAATCAATGAGATTCAGAATTAAATTTTCGATTTACTGCCTCCCAATTTTCCTTGTGGTACCTGTTGATTTGTGATTTTTTATTTTACATTATAATAACAATGTTAGGGAAATTTATCGTTGTGAGAAGTAGGAATAAGGGGGTTCTGGAGTTAATTTTTCGATTTACTGCCTCTCCCAATTTTCATTGTTGGTACCTATTCATTTGTGATTCTTGTTTTAATCATAATAGTAAATAACAATGTTAGGTCAAGATTGGTTCTTAAATCATGTTCGACTTTTGTACCTTTTTGCAGATGGTGGTTTGGCCAGGTGGTTTGGTGTCCATTTTCTCCTAGCTATATATATGTAGTTTGTTTAAGTATCTAAGTTATTTAATTATCAATCCTCGTGTGTGTGGGAGCTTAGGATTGTGTCTGTATAGAGACTAATTAATCGGAATTGTGGTTTTCTCCTAGCTATAATACTCGATTATGTAAGTAATATACCGTGTGGATTTTTATTTGTGCTCTCGTTTTTATCATTGTGTGAATTGATCTCGTAACTCCCATTGGTCCAATCTTCTCCTTTTCTAATATTTGTGGGAGTTAGTAATGATCACGGTTCCAGTTTGCTCATAAATTGATGCCCAATGTTACGTACCGTCGTTCTTTTGTTCCAAATTACTTAGCAATCGAGCATAGTTCAACTGATAATAACGTCCAAAGGAAAATTCACAAAAGGAAATTAAGGATAATCATATCCCTTCATATAAGATACAATCCTTCCACACTGCGATAAAGCTCTCTGGTCAAACAAAATGTAATACTGCGGTAAAGCCTCTGGTAATATTTTGCATTTGAAGAGTCTAGACTACATGAAATAAGGATTAATAGCTTGCGAGAGGAGACACCAATAATTATCGTTGACTACATGAATCTTTGATAGAATATCAAAGGCAAAAAAAAAAAAAAAGGAATCGAAGGCGCGAGCTTCTGGAAGCTTTTAACAAGTTTGTTGAAAGACAAATTCGGAACAATATGAAGGAAAATTTCAACTAATGTTTTCCTAAATCTTGAAAGTTGAAAATGTATACATGAACAAGGAGTATTCGAAACCAATTCAACCTCAGTTTTAAATACTAATGATACAAGTGTGGTAAAACCTGTTTTGACAATGCTCCAAGCATCAAATGGAGCAGCAACTATATACTCTCTCTCTGTTCCAAAATTGTTGTCCAATAATTTTGGGACAGAGAGAGTATGTAGTAAGCTGAAAATGAAAATCAAAGTTTCCATTATGTAGAAAACTTTGCAACAAATCATGTGAAACGAAAGGGAAAAGAAAACATCTGGCAAGTCGAACTCAAAGATCTAACTGATACTAATGATACTAGCTCACGAGAAACGAAATTCTCCCGCCAAAAGGAAATCCAATGTTGCCTTGTATTCATCTATCGTTGTGGAGAGTAGGAATTAATTAGATATTCAGGGTTTAATTTTCGATTTACGGAGTCTCCCAATGTTCCTTGTGGTATTTTGATTTGTGTTTTTTTTTTTTTTCATTTCTTTGTAATAACCACATTAAGGCATTGGCCTAATATTTGTTCTTTATTTAATGTTTGGTTTTTTGTACTTTCTGCAGATGCCCAAGGTCTGGTGGTTTCACTTTCAGGTGGTTTAGCCAGGCTTGCGTCCATTTTCTCCTAGCTCTATATTTATAGTTTGTTTAACCATCTAATTAATGTTGTTCAATTGTCACTCCTCTCAGGTGTGTAGGAGTTTAGAATTTTAGTTTGTTTAACTATCTAAGTTGTTTTATTATTTTATTTTATTTTTGAAAAGGTAACTATCTAAGTTGTCAAAACATCACTTCTCATTCGTGTGTCTGTCTCCAGACTACTAAAATCTTGATTTTCTCTTACTACTCTAGTCATAATATTCTCGGTCCCACAAAAAAAAAAAAAATCAAATCGATTTTTCAGATTTATATTAAAAGTAGTAAAAATCTTTAAATTCAACGAGTATTAGTTTTTTTTTTTTTTTTGGACAGAGGAGTATATATTTTGTGGCTTTTGTGACCCCGTCTACACTGGTAAAACCTCCACAAGTTATGCACAGATACGGGTCATAAAAAGGATAATAACCCTTCATCAGATAATCCTTCCACAATGCGGTAAAGCCTCCGGTGAACATCACGTAAAAGCAGCTCATTGATGAATGTTTCAAAAAAAAAAAAAAAAAGAGCTCATTGATGAAAAGTTCACAGATTTGAAAAATTTTGCATTCAACATAATTTCAAAAAGGATACCCACCCAAAGGATTCACAAGGATTACTACCCAAAGGAGACACCAACAGTTGTCTTTTACATCTTTCTTTTTTTTTTGGTAGCAAAAGGATTGATTAACAACTGCGGGATTACAACGTTACGAGGGTACAGTACACCTACTAGATCCGATACTAGTATTGCTCTAATCCCTGGTGGCGCGGAATCCAATACAGACGCATTCATAGAATTGCTGCCAGAAAGGACCCTTAACCGGCCATTACATCCTGCTTCATTACATCCTGCTTATCGCTGTGTATTCTAGTGCCGCTCAGCACATAACCACCCGCCGTACTCATTTGCATTTGTGGGTGGGTTCGAGATGGAAGGACCTGTGTACATCTCTCAATCATGAGCATGAAAATATCAAAGAAATTAAAGGTGCATGCTTTTGGAAGCTTGATAAATTGTTGAAGCACAAATCCCACCGGAGGACAAATATGAGGGAAATTTCAACTATGTTTTTCTAATCTTGAAAAATAGCATACACGAACGAGGAGAATTTGATTAGTAAAATGTACCTGGTATTCACGTAGCCAAAGTTCGGATACTTGCAACCCGATTGCCATTTTCTCAACCTGAAGATTGTGCATGCACTGAGCAAGAGGCTGCAATAATTAAGAAAAAAAAATAAGTGACTCTCAGCTATTTTTTCAGAACCAAGTCAACCTCAGGTTTACCATGCAAAACAGATAATCTGGAGTTTGAAATAGACTAACTTGCTGATATTGATGATAAACTGCAAAAGGAGCTGAAAATGCCAGAAGAGGTAAAACTTCTTTGACAGTGCTCCAAGCATCAATCAGTGGAGCAGCAACTATTAAGCTGAAAATGAAAATCAAAGTTCAGATTATGCAGACAACTAGCAACAAATCATGTGAAACGGAGAAAACAAAGATCTGAAAAGTAAAAGTCAACCTGGAAAAGCCATTTTCCTTCCACGAATTAACAGCTTCTGGCGGAGCCTTCTGACCAGCTTTTGTACATTTATTCAACTTAGGAATTTGAGAATCAACTGTTTCTGGATTAGTCCTTGAGTTTCCTCCTTCAAAAGATACCATTCCGGCTTCTGTGAAAGATGTAGTATTTTCATCCTGCAAAAGCAAGGGCATCCTCTCAATGCAAACAAGCTTCTTCTTTCTTTATTTACTATTATTATTGGCAAGCTTAAAATAACCTAAAAGCCTAAAGAAAAAAACATATGCCTACATTTGACTGGCTTGCAGAGTTGCAGGCATCTTCAAGCTGGTCGATGGATGCTGAGGGAACATTGGAGGTAGAACATAATTCCTTCAAGGAACAACTGACAATCCTGGAGGAAAGAAAATAAAGCACACTTCACTTTTATAGAAGATAAACTAATCAGTGGAATCTTCTTTATCAGTGCACTTTCTTTTTCTTTTTTCTTTTTTTTTGACTGTTCTGGAGACGGTCATCTCTCCAGTTCTTGGGCTTTGAAACCCTCTTGTTACGCACGCATGAAATTGCACATGCGTAAGCAAATTTCGATGATTAAATGACTGAGACCCTAGCATCAGATGCATGCTGAAAGAGAAATGTACCTTTCGCAAATCTCTTTACCAAAATTGAACATCCGAACAATATCAACTGAATAAGGCGTACTTCCATGATAGGCATTGCAGACATATCCCTTACCTGTAAAAGTAACATATTCGAAAGTTAGTTTGTTCGTGGGGCTTACCATATAATGGAAATACATCACAATCTTCAAAATACTTGATAGGTAAACATGGTACATGTAATGTCATGTATTCAATTAAAAACATCACAGAACTTATATTCTTTATTACTTAGACGATAGTTTCTCATAACCAAGCGAATAAAATCCAATCAGTAACCCAATTAAATGGAAGTTTAATAAAATAATTGGAATCAGACCTCCCAATCTCTCGGCTATGGCACCAGTCACAAGTCCACCAACCATATCCACTACGAGCACATCCGAATGCGAGGTTACATTAGCCAAGGATAGCAGAAGAGCTAAAGTGTCCATTCGCAAGAACCTAACCAAGAAACGGTCATCAGATGATACATTTATATACTCATAGCCACAGGTAGAAGTAAGAAAATCATTACCCTATCTGTTCAGGACGCTTTTTGAAGTATGCCTCGCATATGCTGAAAATAAAAGCCAAAGCAAAACAAATCAGCAAACAAGGGCGATTACAAGTTGAACTGGAAAAATGGAAGTGTAAGATGAACTATTTAGCGAGATTATAGCTTCATCCATTATATATACTGCGTTAGAGAATTACAAGAAGCTGGAACAGAGGAAAAACTTGCAAGCTAGCTATAGTAAAAGGGTTTGAATCTCAGACCCCCTTCCCCAAAAAAAAAAGAATGCAGAAGTGGCTCCTCAATGAACTCAGCATGAACAATGTACATGATATCATACTTATTTTAAAACTAAAAATCTTCAACAGCGGTGGCTAAAACATACAGAGAACAGTCAACAAAAAGTTCAAAGTTCAACCTTCGAGTGACAGGACGCCTCAAAAGTACTCTGGGAGAGTATTTCTTCTGCTTCTTAAGACGATATTTCTCCTGCAGCAATACAGAATACTTTCACTTTTCCACCAAAACAGGGAGATCTCTATCATTACTATTAAAAGCAAAAACCTACTTGAGAAAATGCTGTCTTCTTGTCAAATGTTGCACTGTTACTAATCAAAGCTTCAATTATTTCAGCCCCTTTTGCACCTTTCCTGCATCAAAATTAGGAGCTTTATTTTCATGGTTCGTAAAGAAAGCCTAAAATTGTTATAGAGTACCATTGAACGATTCACGAAAAAACAAAAAACCTTCGCATTTCCTCGATATCTTCACCAGTAAGAGACTGGGATGTATTATTATCAATCAGTTCTCTGTTATCCTTTGATTCTTGAACTGTAGGACTCTCCTCTTCCTCTTTGGTACTATCATTATTATTGCCTAAAAGTCGAAAACTCGTATAAATTCCTAGAACACTTTAAAGATGCTACCAAGTAGCATGAAACCAATAAATACAAATGAATTTGATTGAGATTCAAAAAGAACAAAAAGGTACCGAACCTTCAGATACAGTAGAAACCCGAGACAAAAACGGGCCATTCTCCCCATTCTCCAATTCAAAAAGAGACCCGAACGGAGAGCCAATCAATGGTTGAAGAGAGCACTTCTTATTTCCAATTTTCAACGATCTGCATATATAATAAACCAAACCAATTCAAACTCATAAAAAAAAAAAAAAAAAAAACAAGCACCACGGTTTGTTCTTCTCAATCACACTGATTGAATTCACATCAAGTAATGATAAATTTACAGAATGTAACTAAAAGGGTGGGAGCTAAAAAAATACTCACGCTGCGGGGGTCAGGCGTTCAAAAACCATGCGCTCACCATCGTTGATGTCGAGCAAGACGCTGCAGCCTTCCCAGGTTATCCTTTGATTATTATTGATTGGAATTTCCTGGGTTTTATTTTCGGCCATGATCGAATAGTTTTTTTCAATGAGAACAAGATTCTTTCCTCCAATGTAATTCCAAAAAAAATAAAAAAAATCCAAGAGTAATTAGATTAGTATTAAAGCAGAAGAAGAGCTTAAACCCTTCACGAGGTAGGAGAAGGGTTTAATCGACGGTTGGAAAACAGGAAAGCCGAAAAAGGAAAGGAAACCTCTTTTTTTTCCCCTGTAACTTTGATTTGGGCCTCTCTTTTTTTCCCGTGGATATGGAGATTGGGCTCTAAAGTCCAAAACGGATTAAAATTTGACTATTATTAATATTCGAATCCTATCTGAATTCTGGAATCTGAAAAGTTTGGGGGTCCATATAACTACAAAAGTAAATACCGTACTGACCTTCATGTTTCCAGAGAGATGATTGCCTCCACATTGACCAACCCCCATACCTTCCTCCTTCTGGCGCCATTAAATTGACCGGAAACAAAGAAGTAAGAACCAAGGAGAGATAATTAAAATTCTTCAGGCGATAATTATTCATATACTACCATACATATATATATATATAGTTTATTATTATTACTATTAGTATATACATACGTGGTGGTACTGATATAATTTTCGACAATCATTGTCTTCTGATTTTTAGCTTTTGTTTTGAGTTTTGTTTCCTCATTCGGAATTAACAGCAAAGCATCACACGTCTCTTCGGCTCTTCTTTATTTGTGAGGATCTTTCCGGCTTCCTCCTCAGACTTCTCCTGTCGGAATCCATTGCGGCTGAGCGATTCAACCCAGTTTCTCTCGATTGTTATACTGCAGCGAAACCCCCACAGGTGATTATTTTTTATTTTTTTTACTCGAATCATATTTCAACTACAATTACTTGTTGATTTTTATGCATTTGGATTTTTGGAAGGTTCTCGTTTTTATTCGATGTTGGCTTTTGTTTTTTTTCCCTTCCCAATTTGAAGACTGCTGGGTTGAACTCGTTGATAGTTTACTTTTCTGTCTTTTCGTTTTGGGCTTTTTCTAGGACTGCTGCTATTGTGTTATGTTTGTTAATGATTTCTGGGTGATTGCCTTTGAATCTAGATGTACATTGAAGATTTCTGCGTATAATTTCTCTCTGTCTTTCGAACTGTTCTTTTCCCTGTCTTGCATCATTCAGAACTAAGTTTCAATCTCATTCCTGTGATTGTTTGGTGGAATATCTAAGGTTTTGATTGAGTAACGGGTTTATCCTGGTGGAATATCTTTTATCTTTATGGGAGCCTTTTTCAGTTTTCCTTTTTGTCCTTTTGTGCGTGAAAGAAAGTTATAAAGCAAAGGATTAGTGCCCGGGGTTGCATGAGTCTTGTGAATGCTTGCCAGTTATTCTTATCTCATTGCTTTTCCATCTGTTATGTCTGTTTGTGGCATTGGGTTTTGGTCCTTTTGGATCTGTAGGAATGTCATCTTTCTAGAGAATATCTCATCTTTTTTGGCTTACTGTTTTGGAAAGATTTGAGCCTACGCTCCATAAATTTGGTTAGATTGTGTTCATTTAATTTCCAATTTCTGCGTCAATTCTGATTTCGGGTGGAATCAAATATTCAGCGATCCTGTTTTTCTTTTTTCCTCTCCTCTGGGGTAATGTGTTTTCCTTTTTTTTTTTTAATGTTACAGTACTAATGATGGTCGGATTGACCTGTAACGTTGTGTACTTAGAAATCGCCGCTGTTTGCATTTAATGCGCCATATGCTGATTATGCTGCTTTTCCCGTAATTTTGTTGGCCACCGAATTAGAGCTCCTTCCTTTTTGTTTCAGTTTCAGACTGCCAAATTGAGAAGTATGACTCATTCTGATAGTCTAGTTTAAGAGGGATTTAGCATTTTGGGAGAACAACAATCTTTCTGTCCGCTAGATGATGGAGTTCTTATTATATATTTTCCTTCAGTTATGTTGATTAATACTTCACTTATTTTGAGTAATATCTCAATCTTGTACATTTTGCTTTGAAGCTCTCCTGTTATTTTAAATCTATTCACTGCTCTTCTTGTTGAAAGTCTTACCAAGCTATTGATTCCCTTGATCTTTTGATGAATTTTCTTGATCATACGGGTATCTTCTGCTTTATGATGAACAGAATTCTTGCTTCTTTAGAAAGCTTTAACATTGTTAGTTTCATCGATGCATCAACTATGACCCACTTTGGTTTATTGAGTTGTTGACTGATAATGTTTATTTCCTTGGTTCAGATGGAGGCTCGAGTTTCAGAGCCTGCTCATGTCATTGAGGTTCTTGATGATAGGGCTCTTGCTCAGAAAGGCGTTGGTGGAAGTAAAGTTTGTGAAGGGGCTCCTTGTGGATTTTCTGATGCAAAGGAAAGTTCAGAGCGTTCAGTGTCGATGAAGAAGCTTTGGATTGCAATTGTTTTATGCATTGTTTTCATGACTGTTGAGGTTATTGGTGGTATTAAAGCCAATAGTCTTGCGATTATGACTGACGCTGCTCATCTACTATCAGATGTTGCTGCTTTTGCAATATCATTGTTTTCTCTTTGGGCATCAGGTTGGGAAGCCAACCCCCGCCAATCATATGGATTTTTCAGGATAGAAATACTAGGTGCCTTGGTGTCTATCCAAATGATTTGGCTTCTTGCCGGGATCCTCGTATATGAAGCCATTGCAAGACTTATACATGGTACAGGGGAAGTTCAGGGATTCCTCATGTTCTTGGTGTCTGCTTTTGGCTTAGTTGTGAACATCATCATGGCTCTTGTGCTAGGACATGATCATGGTCATAGCCATGGGCATGGGCATGGGCATGGGCATGGGCATGGCCACGGGCATGGGCATGGCCACAGTCATGACTATGACCATAGCCATGACCACCGTCATGAGGATCATCATAATCATACGCATGGAGTAAGTATCACTAGTCATCACCATCATCATGAAGGAAATGCTGCACATGATGAGCATCATAATCACCAACATGAATCAGGTTGTAGTGAACCTCTCCTTGAAAAGAGTTGCTCTGTTAGTGAACAGGAACAACAATCATCCCATGGAGAAGGACCTGCTAAGAAAAAGAAGCAATTTAACATAAATGTTCAAGGTGCTTACCTTCATGTCCTTGGTGATTCCATCCAGAGCATTGGTGTGATGATAGGTGGAGCTATTATTTGGTACAAGCCTGAGTGGAAATTTGTTGACTTGATATGCACCCTTGTTTTCTCAATTATCGTCTTGGGCACAACCATTAACATGCTGAGGAACATTCTTGAGGTCTTAATGGAAAGCACACCTAGGGAAATTGATGCAACAAGGCTTGAAAATGGCCTCTGCGAGATGGAGGAGGTTGTAGCTATCCATGAACTGCACATTTGGGCTATCACAGTTGGGAAAGTTTTGTTGGCATGCCACGTCAAGATTACACCGGATGCTGATCCTGACTTGGTGCTGGACAAGGTTATTGGCTACATCAAGAGAGAGTATAATATCAGTCATGTCACCATCCAAATAGAAAGAGAGTATAATTGATTGAAGAAGGTAATTTTATCTTTGCTTCCGAATGTTGTTGTAATATCAGGTGCGTGGATTTGAGAATGATTCTGGGTCATTTATCCGAATTCTTGATTGATATTAAAGTTAGGAGCTTCTGCTACCCAGTTTTGGCCTTGCAGTGATGGTTTCATCAAATTGGTGCTGTTTTAAATATGGTTTTTGAATCTGATTAGTAGGAATTGCGCATGTTTTTCATGTTCTATTTTCTAGTGTTCTAGCTACAGCTTAATGGCTTTAATTACCTTTGTAGGAACTAGGAAGATCATAATAAAAGTAAAACTGGGTTGCGGTTACCGAATAAAGATGACTGTTTTCCTCTGCAAATCATGTTTCATTCTATAGATCCCAGGCTGTCCGTTAACGACGAAGAGCCCACCCAATTAAATGTAGCTGGAAACATTGTTGGGCCGATGTCTTGCTCGTTTCTGATATCCCGCCAAAATAAGAAGCACAGTATAAGTGAAAGATAAAATCATACTGTTTTTGGATTAAAAATAGCAAAATTTAACTAGGGAAAGAGAGAGTAGAAATCTCTAAAATTTTCTACTGAGATGCATTACGTAAGAATGGAATCATGATGTTGTCATTGTAAAACTCTCTGCTGGAGTTTGTTGAAGATCATGAAAGCACGAACGTTATAATGACACTGACAATGCAATATTTCAGCCAAAAAATTCGCTTCTCGACTTACCTTGTTTTATTAGAACTCTCGAATTTGGACCATGCAGTTCTCCTGTGACTAAAAGTAGATCAGCTCTCTTTACAGGCTTCTTTTCTGGATCAATTTTGGATTATTCATCCGAGCCCATTGGACATGATTAACGTTTCCATTTTATTCAAGTAGAAGTATTTTTCTTTTTCCTAATAAACGTCGATTTTTTTTTCACTTTAACTACCCAAAAAAAGAAGGAAAAAAAAAACCCTCCAATATATTATCATTGTTAGATTTAATTAGTCTTAGGAAAATTGACAAATTATCTGAAAAAATTAAGTTTTAATAAAAAGAAGACGAAGAAGAAAGTTTCATTTGTTTATTTATAATCTAATCTTCATCGATGAACTACTGGATGACCGCACGATTTATTTTTTAAGAATAAAATGTGGTTTGCTTTGGTTCTATTCTAGTTGAGGATAAATGCTACAGAAACTAGCATCCATTCTGGAGCTTCGTTTCATAACATCACAAATTTTTCCTCCAACCCAAATAATTATCACACACTTAATATTGGTTCCAAATTATAAATGATTTCATTCTTTTTCTTTTGGCAGGTGTTAAACTCGGGAACATATCAATAGAAGCAAGCTAGGGTGGTCCTTTAAAAAAATCATTAGAAATAATCATAGGCTGGCTTCTTTTTTTTTTTCTTCTTTCTTCTTTTTCGGCCACGTTGAACCCTTTTTTTTCCCCCCGAAAAGATACATTTATGTTAATTGGTACCTGAACTATTACATTGTATTCTATTATAGGTTAAACTATATGATTCGAAAACATCCTGTCTATTAACTTTAATCAATTCAGAAGACCGGAAGGATGCTAGAGTCGAATTCAACAAAGAAATAATTTCCTGAGTAAATTGCACCTTTGTATTTGTCAAAAATCATATTGATTGATTACGTTTGTATAGATGCATGGTTATTATGTACCATTATTAAACAAAAAAGAGGTGAAATGAATTTCCTTCCTTTTTTTTTTTCAAGTTTTTAGAGTACTATCAACTAGTTAAAAAATGACACATATAATAGTACAAAAAGACAGAGAGGTATAGGTAATCTGTCTTTTCGTGTATATATATGCATATGCAGCGCCGAGTTGGCTAACTATACTATAACCAACTCCTCATCCAGAGTCAGAACCCGACCCAGCTGATCCTCTCCAACTGCTCCAATTATTTATCTCATCTCTACCATCATCACCAATTCACACTGATCATGAGTTGATGATGATCATCATGTTTTGTACTTAAAAAAAAAAAAAAAAGGAAAAACCTATGACGAATATGTCAATAAGCATGTACTCAAAATATACTTATAAGCTGCTGATCCTGTCCAAAGGGTTGACAATATTAATCACAAAAATATTGGGAGGCTGGTGAAATCAAAACTACTTTCCAATTATTAGTGCTTAAATTGATGACAATACTTTCATTGTGTGTTGAATTGCGCTATTTATAAGTTATTACATATTTAAGAGTTCGATTGAGGTACAGTTTCTATTTAAAAATAAGATGCATATATATGAAGTGTGTTTATGTATGTGGATAGGGTCACACTAACTGAACCACGCTAATATTATGTTTTTTCTTAAATCATCTCGAGGGGATGAAAGAATTGACGAAGTTTGGAATTGGATGATTTTCTTACTCAATTGTTAATTCAGTGCAATAGCTAGCTAGCTGACAATATGGTATAGTACTTGATATACCAAAATTCATAAGGGAATGGAAGATAAAGAAGGGTGGATTAAGGTACGGATTTAGGTGAATACTCGTGTCCTAGCACGTTGTTGTAGACCATAATCACATGCTGCAACATGCTAACTAGTAGTAGTATTATTTCTTCTTTGTTTTTTTCTTTTCTTTCCTGGTCTATTTATCCACCATTTATATATGGTTGGTTCTTTTTCTTCTTAAAGATTGTCCGCCAATTACTGAATGCTAATAATGGTAAGATTAGTCAATTGGCAAATGCGTAGATTATAGGGTAGGCCACTTTGGTGTTTCTTGGGGGAAAAATGAATGTCTAGCTAAAGGCTGATTAATTTGTTGGATTAAAGACAAAAGACGTAAACGTCCGTACCAAAATTATTATTCTATTTAGATTTTTACTTCTAGTTCAATTTGTACTAAAAATGAAAACTCAGATAAGACAATAATTTTGAGACGGAGAAAGTATAAAAAATTAATGGTGCACCAAAAAAACACTTCTTTTTGTTAATCATACACTTCTAAATGATTAATTGTTGTAACACCCTGCCAAGTTATTGTCATGTTACTTAAAGTTAAAAACGTTAAATATCACTGTTTATCATTTTATTAACTTAAATTGTTCGACTCGCTATTTAATTTTAAGACGCGATACATGAATGTAAACTGGCACATACATGTTAGTCAATGGAATAATGAAGACTGCTGTTTTTGTGTTCGTTGTAGAGGCCCATGCATTGATGCGTACCTCCGATTTGGCTCTAGCACTTTTCGTCTAGCTAATTCACGGAATCTATAAACCGCACTAAACACACTTGAGGCTCAAGTTGCTATCGAAGTAACGCCAAAAAAATAAATAAATAAATAAATAAAAATTGAAGGAGAAAAACTTATACTTGTTTTTTCATAAGAAATTAGATTGGACAATTATTTTGGGACGAAGGGAGTAAGATAGATAAATACTGGAAATTCTGGGGAGATAGTATACATATCACATGAGCTTTGTAAAGTATGAACGACAATCACAAAATTCCGAAAACTAAATGGAGTGGAGGGGAGAGTGGACTGAATCTGGCAAACGTTAGTGCATCTGGTCGTTGACAGGAATTGAAGTACCACAACAGGTGAACCTAAGACATCGATCAAACCTTCAGTTCGGTACTACTCTAATTATATATTTATATATCTGTGGATATATGTCATTTTATACTTTTTGATTTTTTTCTTTTTTCCTTGTCGGATGAAAGTGATAATCATTATCATTTTTTTCCCTTCTATATTATGGCCTAGTAGTAATGAGGATAACTATAAGAGAAAAACATAGTAAAATCAAGAAGGCAACTATCCGCAGTTTGGGAGACAATAGCTTTGAGCTAGATTTATTCTCCTTTTTTTTTTTTGGGGGTAGAAGGGAAGAATTACGATGTTCTCTATGAATATATAAAATTCACTATCAGAATTGTGATCGTTTATTTCACTTATTTAGCCTCAATGATATTCTATTTATATAGATACTGAGATCAGTTTATTGCACTCGTGGTAGTCAGTTACCGAGCTTGAAAAGTCAAAATAACAAATTAGATGAAAGAAAATCTGAATAGGGTAAAACTAAAGCTGTCAAGCAATTCATGTGGTCATCAAAAAAAAAAAAAAAAACCCGTCTCATATAATTAAAAGAAGTCAATTTGGTATTTTCAAGTCATTTCAGTACTCATCTCATCGATGCCATCATTGTTTAGAAAAGAACATAAAGAAAATGACAGAAGACCTCACTTTACCTAGCAAATCGTTTTCTACTAATTGCTTCCTTCCTTCCCGTGCCCTTGCTTTTTTATTTTTGCCACTTTATCCAAAGAGAAAAAAAGGTACATAAGAATATATTAATTCCAGAATATGAAAAGAGCTAATGTTAATTAACCAAGCAAAGCACATTATAGCCTCGTCCTCCCCCGGAAAACAAACCTTTTGCTCTCTCTTTTTTCTGGGTATAATTTCTCAGTTGCTCTTTAATACATCCAGTTCCAGAAAAATGGGTGATGGGTCCATTACAATTACTACTCTTCAAATGTCCTTGTACTCCACTAAGTATAATTAAAATGTTGGGTTATCAGCCTACCATATGCATAAAGTAGGATAGTTGAACCAAGTTGACGGTTTGATACATCTAACAATGCTTAATTGCATATTTTGTCAGCTTCAAAAAAATGTTTCAAAGACTCGTCTCTGTCTGTCTCGATATTATTGTGTAGTTTAAGATACATGTTTCAAAGACCTTAAACCAATTGCAAAATAAAGCCTTCAAAATGGAATTGACTTGGCATGTATTGTAAGGTTATGAATAAACAAAAGTGAAACTTACATTAATTCAAAGGAGTCAAAATCACACATGGTAGTAGTACAACTGAGATATCACCGAGAAATCAACGAGTAATGACAACACAATTAATGAAGCTTTGATTATGTTGTCCAAATAAACAAAGGCTTTGAACTTTGATTAATGAGCAGATGAGACAAATTAAGACACTACCCATAGTAGTACATTGGTTAATTCGAAATTACTAGTACTACTGCTACATAAGGTTATGGGACAACAAATAAACAATTAGAGACTTAAAAAATTAGTGGGTAGTAAACGACCCTCTCCAAACCCCAAGGTCGTCCACTAAAATACACACATATTCATTAACACTTAACAACCTTGGTTTAATTATAATGTCTTCTCTGGTCTTTGCATAAATCATCAATTGTCTCCCCCACCCCCCCCAGATTTTTGTGAAAATTATCAATAATATATGCCGTCAAGCATTCGTCTGGATTTTTCAATGTTAAACAAGGTTAATTAACGACTTTTTTCATAAATTAGATGACTTGTTTCATTTTTTTATGGTATTTTTAAATTAAAATATTAATAACTGTCCCATCTCAATATATTTTTTTACATTTTTAATACACTTTTTTACATTTTCAATATAAAAAACACCTAAAAAAACACACTAAATAAACGAAACAAACATACCTTTAGTTTTCACAAAGTAAATGGGAGGTCATTGTAATTTCTTTTTCTTAATTAACCTTTGCTATTTTTAGCCTTCCCTAATTGATTTGCCTGCTGAATACATTACACCCCATATCTTGGATCCCTGTCTCTTCTTCCACCATTAAATTTTTCGCATTAAACCGTTTTCATTTATTTATTTATTTATTAGAAGGAATTTTTTTTTAAAAAAAAAAAAAGAAAAATTAAACCATCCTTTTCCTTCCTCAATTGCCTCAAAAAGCAATTGAGAGCCCATCATCATTCACTTCATTTTAGTAGTAATTTCTTTTTCTCTCCCTTCCATGAACGGAAGGAGAGAAGTTCCATAAGGTCCCCTTTTCTTTTCTTTTCTTTCTTCTTCTTCTTCATTACTTCTCCTCTGCTTTTTTTTACTCTGTTTTTCCAATGGCGCTACTCACTCCCATGCCTCCTCAAGAAAAATCCCGAACCTCATCCCGAACCAATACCACCAATTCATCATCATCAGACAAGACCAAGCAGAAAACACATCACCCATCAAAACGCAGGAAAATCAAACAGCAGCAACAACTTGTTCAGTTACAACAACAACAACAAAAGCAATCCTCTTCATCTTCATCTTCAACTTCATCATGGGACCAATTCAAAAACTTACTCACTTGCAAACAAATCGAAGGGTCAACCGTCCATGATCCCTCTTCTTCAAAGCACAACGGAAGTACTAATACTACTAGTAATCAGAAATCCGGTTCTTGCAGCTCAATCTGCACTTTCAGGGACGTGGTTCACGGGAACACCCGGGTGGTTCACCGGGCCGATAATTCCCCCGAGAGCAGCAGCTTGGGTCAGGAAACCGGCCGGCTCCTGAGTAAGAAATCGAGTCACGGAAGTAACGGTAACGGTAACGGATCGTCGTCCCGGTCGTATTCTTCCAGCTCCGTCAGGTCAAACGGAAGCAACTTGGCGTACAACGCATCATGCAGTAGCAGGGGAATGCAATTCAGGAAGCTGTCTGGATGTTATGAGTGCCACACCATTGTTGATCCAAGCAGGTCTGAATATTATTTATTTTAATTAATTGAGTGATTAATTTTAGTTGGAATTTTTTTGTTGCTTTTGATGATTGAAATTGAATAATTAATATTTAAGAATTAATGGATGATTTATTTATGATTAGTATTATAATAATGTGTGTGCTACAGATACCCATTGCCGAGGACAACCATATGTGCTTGCTCTGAATGTGGAGAGGTCTTCCCTAAGATTGAGAGCCTTGAACATCATCAAGCAGTCAGACACGCGGGTAATTTTTTCCTCTTTTTTTTCACTTTTTTCCAACTTTTTTTTTAATAATAGTAATAAAATGTGCACTTTTTTACTGCCATCAGTAATAATAACGTAGAACTTGAGTATACATACGACAGTTATATTGAGACGGAAACAACAATAAAATAATGTCGTTGAACCTATTCTTTCACACTGTTTAACATTAGATAGTTTTGGAAAAATTGTTTTTAACTACAGATTAAGAAAGTATATATGTGTTGGCTAAAGCTTTTCGTAGGGTTGATGCACGTAATTTTCACCAAAACTAAATGGCAAACTTAAAATTGTTTTAAAGTGTATTTTGAGTGTGTGATAAAATGTTGAGTTATTCACAAAGGTTTGTGCATCATTCACTTGTTCATGACTCACGAGTATGATCTTTCGACACAATTGATAGTGACACTGAATAATTGAGAATAATTGAAGCTCCTTTGTTCATTAAAAAGGTTTGTTTGCACGTCTAAATCTTATCGGTAGCAAGTAAACGACATTACAACTAAACTATATTCTACCTTTCATTTCATTATGCATAGTCGGTTATATGAATTATACGCCATACAAATGATTTTAGGATATTTTGGAGTACTATTACTAGCAGCATAAGGTGTTCTTGGTATTCAATTTTTAATATCTCAAGAAAAGTAGTGATAGCTTTCCAAGATCCTTTATTAATTTGTCTTAAAAAGCGCAATTTTTTCCCCCTTCTTTTTTCTTTAAAAAAGTTTGAAATCTCAAAAATTTAGGAGAGCCCTGAATTAAATTGAGTAGTACAAACTTTTGGGGGGGAAATGTTCCCACTATTTCAGAACTAGTGCTCAAAAAACGGCATTCAATTTGCTGATATTATGAGCATATTAAATTAGAGTAGTACTACAAGATATTAATGGTATAAATCTGATGCGTCTCCCACCATATTTTGCCTTCCCCTTTTTAAATAACACTGCCACTGTTTTAAATTCGAATAAACAGAAGCTACGTACGTTATGTGTATTAAAAACATTAGTGTAATTACCTGAGCATTTTTATTTTTTTTTTGTATTGTGGACCATATATTAGTATAATGGTAGTACTACTATTTACAGTTGTCACTTCTATAGTGTTCTTTAATTCGAATTGTACCATTCAGTATTATGCAGCAGATAGTTACAGGACAACTTTTATTACTCCTATCTGCCCCCCTGAGCTGCTTCAAAAGAAACACTTAAAGCAAAATATAAAGGGCATCCCTCAATCCCATATCTTCAATGATTGAAGAACAGGGAGTCTTATAACTCTGTTTTAAGTATCCGGCCAGTTGAAAATAAACTTGGAAGAGGGATCGGTGCTAATTCCGACGACGAATTATCATCATTCCAATACCAAAAACTGAAATGACAGACAACTCATTGACGAAATTAGTGTTTGAAGTTGACGGATTAGCGTTTTTTTTTTCTAATGTTAACTATTTTTTTTGAGACCGAGAGTATTAAAGTTGAAGTTTGGTTTAACACTGACTATTTTCTGCTACGCTTTATTGTTCGAAAAGAATTTGATTTTTGGTAAAGACAGTAACTAGCTTTTGCATGGATAAAGGACTCTGAATTTACGTAATTCAATGTAATGCATGTGTTACAGTGGCTGAGCTGGGTCCAGACGACTCAAGCCGTAATATAGTGGAAATCATTTTCAAATCAAGCTGGCTCAAGAAGGATAATCCAATCTGCAGCATCGAACGGATATTAAAAGTCCACAACACCCAGCGGACGATCCAACGGTTCGAGGACTGCAGAGACGCCGTCAAGATCCGGGCCAACAGCAGCCACAAGAAGGACCCGAGGTGCGCCGCCGACGGGAACGAGCTGCTTAGGTTCCACTCCACCAGCCTCAGCTGCTCACTCGGCGCGCGGGGCTCATCCAGCTTGTGCGGCTCCGTCCCCGGCTGCGGCGTGTGCACCATCATCCGACACGGCTTCCAAGGCAGCCGGTCCACTGGGGTCCGCACCACCGCAAGCAGCGGTCGGGCGCACGACTGCCTTGGAATCACCGCCGGCGCGTCATCCCGGAGAGCCATGCTGGTTTGCCGGGTAATCGCCGGGAAGGTGAAGCGCTTGGCGGAAGACGCGGCGGCGTCTCCGGAGGAGGAGGAGAAAGACGGGTTGGCCGCCGGGTCATACGATTCCGTGGCCGGATACGCGGGAATCTACTCGAATCTCGAGGAGCTTTACGTATTTAATCCAAGGGCTATCCTACCTTGTTTTGTTGTCATCTACAAGACACTGGATTCTTAGTTGCGTGCTTTCAATTTCTCTTCTCTTTTTCTTTTTTTTTTTATTTATTTATAAAGTTTCCCTTCGTTTGAGTAGTAGTTTAGTGAATTGTAATACTACTAGTTTGTACGAACTTATTATCGTCATCAGTTTACTGTTAGTTACGAATTACTCCCCCCGATCCTATTTGTTACCAATTAATTTGATTTAAAATTATGGGTGACGAATAGGGTAAGAGGGAGTATTTGTAATTAAAGTTAGGAGGAAACCAAGAGAGCAAAGAAAGGGATCAAAATATGCTGGGGGAAAAAGATTATAAATTCAGGATGCTAATTTTTAGGTGTGTGCATCAAATCAATCATTTCTTGTTATGTATATATATATATGGTGAAGCTGTCTTTTTGGATCTTCATGTGTGTCTCTTTTTGTGCTTATGGTCTTGTTAAAACTACCTTTACCCAACTTAATCAAATCGTAAATCATAGTGTTGTGGTTGTTCAAGCACATCCTTTTTGTTGCTAACACAATTGCTAGTAGTGCTCACGTGATTTCTTTATTCTGTGTGTTCCTTTTTTTCTTGCTCTCGTAAACCAAAAAGCCAAAAAGTATCTAAACGCGAACCATCACTAAAAAAATCGTAAAAAATAAATCTTCCCCCTCAAGTGATGCTTCAAAATGTAGTAAGAACTAAGAAGTAAGAATCAAATATACATTAATAATATGTGATGTTGAGTATACTTGTTCCGTTCCAAAATAATTATCACATTATTGTTATATCACCGTCTTTGGGACGATAGGGACGATAGGAGGTGAGTTGTGGAGAGGGAACGTGGGGATTAGGTCAAACTGGAATTCAAAGTTGAAAAGAGATGATGATTAAATATGAGCAGAGACATTGATGAGAGCCATTAAATTCACAGTCCCAGAGAAGAAAGTAAAATAACGCATGGAATTGGAAGGATGGTTTTGAATGATGATGACCACTTCCCAATTCCCCTTTGGCCTTGATTTCACGCACATGCAACCTTCACTTCGTGTCATTGCTCGCTCTCCTACTACTACTCTTTTCGTTTACAACTTCGGAGTCTTTGGAATTTGGAGTTTGCATGCATTGAGGATTAATCATTAGTTCTACTACGTAATATGGTGTCTTTTTTTTTTCCCAAAATATTTTAATTAACTACCTCTTTTTTCCCCTCTATCAATAAAGTTCATTTAGTCAGTAAGAAAATTTAACACTAAGAACCCGCATCACAAGTAGATCGCGTGTGTTTAATTAGTCGAGTGTGTATCTTCAAAGATAATAGTAATTCCAAGAAAAAAAAAAACACGTGCTAGACCTTGTAGTACGCACCAAAATTCAAATGCTTCACAAAGAACATTTCAGACATTAATGGTAGTCAACACTGTTATGACCATTGTGCATTCTGTATGATGATGGCTTAAGTTTCAAATTCCCCATCGACTTATTGAACCCGACCTCTATAATTTATGTACAGTGATCTTGTAGTATGATTTGCAAGTGATTAAGGTTTTCTCTAGTGACAGAACGAAAATTTTCAAATCGCGGGGTCGAAAATAGGATTATTCAACCGTCACCGGAGGGTCGAACTGAAAAAATTTCAAATAACGGACACCCTACTAAGAAAAAATTTAGCCAAATCCGGCCAACCGGGGGGTCGATCGACCACCCTGACCCCTCCTAAATCCGTCACTGGTTTTCTCGGTACTCACTCCGATTCTTATTATAAGTCATTTTGATTTGTCCTACGTTAGTCCTAAATTTCACTTACGAAATTTTTTTAATTAAAATAAAACCCTAAAAACATATCCTAATAATGAGGAAAACACGACGAATGTAAAAATATATGTTTAAGATTTTTTTTCCAATTAAAATTATATTATAAGTGAAACTTAAGACAAAATCAAAATGCCTTATAACAAGGACAAGAGTCAGTAATTAACAAAAAAGAAAGGAAATGGAAAAAAATGGAAAAAAAAAAAAAGAGAAGAAAACATTGCGAAGACTAATTTAGTAGCGAGTATTGGATTGGAGTAGTACTTCATGAATCATCATGATGATGTTTCTTTTTGGCTCATTCATTCTCAATAGACCAACTGCCATCTAATACCTACACAGACATCGGGAACGTAGCTGCCTATTTAAGGAACCGTCCTTCCATGTCTTTTCAAATTTCATTCACAAACTACAGTGATTTCTGTACAAACTCCGATCACAGAATAACATGCAGGGACAAACAAAGTCTACTGCTGCATTATTTTTTTTCTTCTTTCTTGTTTCCTTTTATTTTTGTTTTATAAGATGAAAATGATGGTTTCATAATGTTCTTATTAGGGAGGGATACATAATTGTTGCGCCACACACATGCGTAACTGGCATTTTTGTCAGCTATACGTTTAAAAGGGCAAAAAGGCCCCGGGGGTTTGATTGCGCGAAGAAGAAGAAAAACCTAATCTAATCATCTTCTCTGCAGATGCTGCAGCCGCCCGGTCTCATGGCTAACTAAAAGATTCGAATATTATCTATCTAATGATTTTTTTTTTATAACTAAATATAAGTTACTAGTAGTACATTGCTACCTGCACTATCCTTACTGTCGTTGATAAGCTAGATAATATAGTGTCAGCCTGTTCTCTCAATACTACAATTGGCACCTTCATTTTACTTCTCAAACTCATTTATTTCAATTTCTTTAGGAGGCATTAATAAATTCTAAAATCTATTATGTTTTTTTCTTTAAAAAAAATTATATAAGCGAATATGAGACATATTGGGTTTTGCACGATGAAAGAAGTGTGTTAGAGATTTTATTTTTTTTCTTCTTCAATATTTAATGACTAACCTCTTCACTTAGAGAAATAAAACAGTTAACCAAAAGGATTTAAAAATCGGCTCATGCGCATCACACATTCTGAACTTCCAATATTTAGTCAAGGATCGGTGACTCTCTAGCTACTACTTACTACTAGTAGTTACTAGTCAACCTTTAGTTTTATTGTAGGAAATTTTCTTTATAGCATAATAATAATATATTAAGATGAAATGTTTTATATTTTTCAATGAAACTAGAAATGCCTGAATATATATCAATATACACATTAGTTGGATGGAAAATTATATACTCTCCGTAGGTGTATACACGTAAATAAACCGAATCAATGGTTAACCTTTCCCTTCAAACATTCAAAATTGCAATACTTCTACTACTATACGCTTGGTTTGTTGGGTATTTTGAAATTTTTAATAATATGTCTATACCTCTTAATACATTTTTTTAACATTTCTTACGAAAACACACACACACACAAACACAGACGAGGCAACACATGGTCTTCTTCTTATGGTGACTAATACACCCTGGTCTGCGCAAAAGGATGATGCTTGCTACTCCGAGGCTTAAATTTTTGGGAGAAGTCCAGAAAGTCTCAAACAAACGAAAGACTGGACAAGAGTAGTGATGGCCCGATTCAGTAGTGGACGTCTTAAGCATTCTGGCCCAATTAATACCAACGGACTATTTTCTTAGGTCACAACAAAAAGACGACTAGCTAGCTCCTTCCACATGCTTCTAAGAATTGTCTGTATTATGTTTGCGTTGAAAATTCTATCTAAATCAGTAACTTAACTCAAAATGCATTCTAAAATTATTTTCTAATTTAAATTTTTTACTTTTAATTCAATCTTTACTAAAACTGAAAATATACACAGGACAATAATTTTGGAACAAAAGAAATACTTAATCATGAGAGTCGGAAAGCAGGTTTCACAAGAGATTCTAAGTGAGAGAAAAAGAAAGAGGAACGAGTGAGTATGAGAATTAACTTGTATTCCCTCCGTCTTAAAATTATTGTTTTAGTTTGCATTTTTAATTTTAGTACAAATTGAACAAAAAATAAAAAATTCAAACTTGACAATAATTTTAAAACGGAAGGAATGTATATTATGTATATTCGTGGCATTCAAGTGAATTGGGTTATCGAGATACACTTTTTATCAATTTGGTTGTTATCAAAGATTTTATTAGTGATTAAAATACTTGTTGTAAGAGTTTTATCTCCTGAAAGGGACCTATCCAGCTTGAATTTGGATTAGTTTAGAGCATTGACTTCGGACACTGGATGCATAATATAACAAAAAAGATTTCATTATTGACACCAAATGTAAAAATTTTGATCAATTTTGCAGTAAATTTGAACAACTCTAACCTCTGTTTTCAAGTTACTTTGAAACCTGAAAAATGAAACCGGAGTGAAAGCCTACTATATATCTTTCGACAAAGTTCCATAGATTTTATAGGTTTTGTTTGGACGTCCACTTAGTTTTTATTTTCAACTTATTTTGCTTTTTAAACACAAAACTCAATGAAAAACAAATTGATGTCCAAATAACTTTCTGATTTATATTTTAAAATCAAACTTGCAACATTTTATTAGTGCAGTGACCATTTTTTGGAACTAAAAATAGTTCAGTGACTAAATCCAAAACTTTGCACATTTATTTCAATTTGCCTCTAGTCAAAAAACACTTTTTACAATTGATAGTGGTTAGGAAAAAGTTTTTTTTTGGAATATGTATTGAAATATCAAGTCAAAAAATATCATTAAACAATCGAAAAGTGTCAATTTTGGTCCTTTTAAAAAAAGAATTTCAAAAATTATCACTAAACAACGGAAATGTATCGATTTTGGTCACTGTAAAATATTAATTTTAGAAGCTATTCCATGATTTTAATGATCATTTTACAGTGACCAAAATCGACACTTTTCTGTTATTTAGTGATCATTTTTTGAAATTTCTTTTTACAGTGACTAAAATTGACATTTTTTTTATTGTTTAGTGATATTTTTTGTACTTGATATTTTAATAAATATTCAAAAAAAACTTTTTCTAAACCACCATCCAAATAACTTTTTGCTAAAATATCATTCGAAGAACTTTTCATTTTTCACTTAAAACACATTCCACTTTCAAGTCAAAAATGAAAATTAAGATGACGTCCAAATAACCACAATGTATTCTTTACTTTGATGCACATCACAAGTCATACTCACCTGCAAAATAAACAGAAAAAGAAAAAAGAGAGATTAAAATAATTGATTAGGGATAAAGATTTCATTAAAAAAAATTAATGAGAAACAAAATTAGGCCCCATACTCTCTATTAATAAAGATTTTATTTTTTTCTTTAATTAAAAAATAAAATAAAAATGTTTTGATATCAGAGGGTTTTAGGTATCTTACGAGGGATAGAAACTAGGGGCGTAAAGGTGGTCGGTAATCATCATAACTTAGTATCACTTGATTTCTAATGTCGTAGTTAATGTGGACAATGTTGTAGGCTTGTAGCCCTAAGGAAAAATAGGCATTGTAAGTTCTAACAAACCTATTTCTTCTTCTTTTTTTTTTTTTTAAAAAAAATGTACACTCCCTATCCTATTTAATTTTATGTTAGTTTATCTTTACAAATATAAACAATCAGAAAACATATCATTATATATATTAAATGAAAGAAAGATAATCGACACGTGTCGCTCATTAAGACCATCAAGCCTCAATTAACATGTGTCATTTGCTAATTGGTTGATCATTAATCAGTTAAAATTTTATGTAAACAGTTAATAAATTATTTACTATATAAGATTTTTACAGATATTACAAATTCCTGATTGTGAGCTTGAAAATGAATATTTTCAAAAATTACTGAGAAACTCCCAACTTCATAAGTCCTTTTCATTTACGAGTTTAAACTTTCATCCTATTGTCATTTTGGCCTTTAAAGTTTCATTTGTCTGCTACTTAGTTTTCAAGTTTATCGATTTTACCTTTTCAAGAATGATTAATTGTGTCTCATATTTTATTAGAATTATACCTAATCCCCCAAGTCCCCTTGCCTATAAATAGGCCATAGACATCTAGACATAATTTACGCATTTTTTAAATATATTTTTTATTCCAAACATAATATTAGTTAGTGGTGGTAATTTTTATTATACAACTTTTTAAAATCTTTGTTGTAATATTTTTGACCAGATCTTATAAATATACATCTCATAAATAATATCAATACCTCTCATTTTGATCTAAAATTGATTAATCAAAAAAATATTACGATTTTAAGAAATATTAGTAACTACATTATCTAATTAATTCTTTTGAAAGATAAATTTTCAACATTGACACATACTAGTTATGTGTATTGTATACATTATACAACACATGTATTTGGTCATTATATTTTCTTCCAGCATACTCAAGCTTCCAGCATACTCGAGCTTCGGGAAAATTTCTTAATTTGTTAAGCTTTTCTAAGGAAGAAACGTTTTTTTTTTCTTTTTTAAGTGAGGAAAGTTTAATTTAGATTTTGGCTCTAATGACCATGTTATTCTATGGCGTTGAATGATTAATAAGAAGAGCTGAAAAATGTACGATGAATCTAATGATGAGATGCTTAAGGCTGACACAACTAATAAGTTGAAAATATGACTTCTTTTCTAAAAAAAAAGAAAAAAAAAAAAGAAAGATTGAAGAAAAGGTTGGCATCTTTGAATGTATATTTCCAAGAGTGGAAAAGCTGAGGTTGTCAACCCATTATTATGTAATTCCTTTCGGCTTTTCGAGTTTTTGTCTCTTAAAGAATGGAGACAATGGGCGCTCAAAATCGTCACATCTCTAAACATTACCTCCATCTCTCTACATCTTTTTTTTTTTTTAACTCCACCGTAATTAATTGTAACGTTGTTAGTCGTATTAAGAGAAAAAATTATAATTTAATAGATAAAACGTCATTTAATTATACATCTCAATTAATATAGTCTTCATTAGTTATAATCGATGTCGTAGAATGTAATATCTCACTATTTTGCTAAGTACGCTAAATCTTTGGATGTAATTGAAACACCCTATGATATAATTCCGAACTTTGTATTTCAATTGGCGTTGAATTTTTTTCAGTAATTTTTAATAAAAATATGTTTCCTTTATAAAATCGATGTCGTAGACAAAATCATGTAATCTGCTCTTATATTCGTCTCCAATATATTTTAAGGTTGCACGTCAGCCATCCACAGAGTCTCACTAGAACATCTCATGAATTCTTTTGATTATCTTTCATGGACCCCAACTTACTATTAACAAATCTAATTTTGAAGAGATGTACGTAATATATAATTGTATAGAGTTTTGGTGGTGAAGACACTAATAGCCCATGAAAATGATTTAGTCACATGGTCTCAAACTCAAAGCATCTTTTTTCCTTCTTTTCTTTCTTCGATCTTTATATATAGAGAGATATGGTTACCTCTCTCCCCTATCTTCACCCCACCATCCTCCATAGAGAGATATATAAAGACACACCAAAAGCCTAAAAACATATCTTCATTTTATTCTTCTCCCACATGGCAGCATCATAGCGCATATATGTTACACTCTTTAGCCAGGGATAATCTTGTTCAATATCACCAGGCAATGCAAAAAATATTATTGCCCAAAATTGAAATTCTTGGTGATACATTGAGGGTGGTGGAAAGAATTAGAAGCTATATATCATGAAACTATTTGATCGATTACGCAAAAGTTTAATGCGTTTGATCTTCTCTTCTAGTATCCCTTCTTCATCTTCTTCCTCTAAATCAAAAGGGTCAAAAACAAGAGCGGCGACATCTTCATCATCATCAAGTTCGGCTCCGAGGCGGAAATCATGTGATTATAATGTGGCAGCTGATCCACCTAAAATCTCATGCAGCTCTTATTACTCATTCAACTCCCATCATAATGAAGCCATTGATGATTGCATTGAGTTCTTAAACAAGTCTCAGAAAGGTATTTTTTCCGGCCGGATGTCGGATTGCAGCTCGGTGACAATTTGATCGAGAGGTCGGAATCGGATCGACGGCGGGTTTCAGTACTGGAGAGATATTGAATTAATTAATCACAATTATGTATGTGAATCGTGATTTGTGTGTCAATATATGGGAGAATGAATGTTGCATGTACGTACATTATTTCTTTATTTCTCTCTAGCCAATTGCAATTTTCGAGCCGAATATTTCTTCTTAGAAAAATTACTTCCATGTTACAAGTAGTACTAGATTCTAAGCGATCTTGAAGTTTTCGTATTAATCTCACCTGAATTTGATTATCCACATATAGACTGGTGTTCGGTTAGTTAGGATTCAGTGACACTTGTAAACATTCGACACATGTAATTGGTTGAGGGTAGACAGATTGAAATCCTTTGAAGTTTGAACTACATTAATCGAAAATCTTATGATCAAAGAGACTAATTATATTATATTGGTACGCACGTCAAGGAAAGCAAGTAGTTAATATTTCTATATGCATGCTACTGTAGCAATTTACCAGAGAAATTACTTTTTTTTAGAAAAAAGTGAAAAATAACAAATGGTACAATCTTTTATAACAAAAGTGAAAAATAACAAAACCGAATGTTTTGACTTTAGTTATTTTTCTAATCTTTTTGCTTAATATTTTGTTGCTCTAATCTACTTGGGTGATATAGTGAGTTGAGTAGCAAAATATCCATGTTAGGAAGGATAGTTTCCCATAGATATACTGAAAAGGTGAAAAGTAATTCCATGTCTTATGACTATATATATAATAATTCCAAAAATTCCAAACAATGGTTCAAGTAACAATGTGATATATATTTAGTACAAATTATACATCATTAGAGAAAAGAAAGAAAAAGGCAGTACTCGCGCCCAACTTATTCATTTTTTAATTAATTATAAATGTTCTCACAAAAAGGAAAATATGGATTTCACATAGTACTCACACTACTCATCTTACTTAAAAAATTAAAATAAAAAGGGTTCATTAGGCTCCCGCGGGTCCAACTCCAGAGCTACCTCTTTTCCTGAAAATGCCCTTAAACAGAGGAATTAATGTCTTCTTTTTACTCTTTCTAAGAGAAGGATGCCTCTGTAGTAACACAGTATCAACATCACTCGGCGTCGGCGGCGGCACAGTAGTAACTTGATGCTCCAAACACGGTGGTTCTGCAAACGTTACGTACCGTTTCTTTTGGAACTCCACTTTTGGTTCACTAATATTAGTACTCGACGAAAATATCAACTGGTCTTCTTCTTTGGAATGATAGTCTTCGACGAATTTGACATCTTCAATTTCCAAATAGTCCAATGCGGTGGAGTACTCCATCATCATCATATGTTGTTGATGTCTCATGTGATGATCTGAAGATGAATAATGTTCTTTTTGTTTCTTAAGGTTTTGGAGCTCTTGTTTGGTCTTCTCAAGCTCTTCCTGCAAAGAAGTTAGACAAGTGGCCATAACCAGGCTTTCTTCTTTAGCCTTTTGGAGAATTTGTTTGGTTTCCTCTAGCTCTGCCGTTATGTTTCCAAGCTGCGTTGTACAAGTATTATTACTAATTGGTTGATGCACATATTTGTCGACGCTGCTGGTTCCATGATCATGCATCTGAAACATTAATTTACTTGTTATTAGTATATTGATCCAAGTCAAAATCGGATTAATTACAGTACTGGTCCTAATGAAAAAAAAATCAAGATTATAATGTGAGTACAAGAAAAAGACACTTTGTATTAACTATTAACATCTTTATAAAGAGTATTATTATATAATCTATTTGGGAAAAGTGTTAATATATCCCTTGCTTGCTAGCTTTAGCGTACTTGCACTCATTCTCAAGCAAACTCCATCTCAGTGTTGTCGACTGATTAATTTCCTAGTTTTTGAAATCCACACAAAAAGAACTAAAGTTGTATAAACAAGAAATTAATTATTGTCAATTCCTTTACCACTGATAAGATAATTATCTTATGTTTTAAACCTCGAGGCTCAAGAGATGTGCAATGAAAAATTTATGCAAATTAGACTCGAATTAACACTTGCAGTTGCATTATAATTTATAAATTAAGAGAATCCAAATTGAGAGTTTTTTTTTTTCCTTTATTTCTTTTTCTATGTACTCCTTTCCAGTCCGATTTAATTTTAATTGTGTCTTTCATATTAGCGGAAGGAGTATTGTAACATGCATGTAACACTGTCCCCCGTTGAAAGTATGTTTTGCCAAAACAGAACATTAATAAATGATATATTCCTTCGTGTTACTAAAAACCATTGTGAATTTAGTCACCAAAAAATTCAGAACAAACAAATGCAAATAGTCACCGACTGTGTAAAGATGGATATTTTGAAAATGGTACCCTCTGTCTAAAAAAATAGTCGGTATTGAATTTTGAGACAAAAGGAGACTAAGGAGTAAAATACAAATTAAATGAAAAATGTATCATGCCACTTGTGATTATATGTCGAATATGCATATTTTGCAAAATGTTAGTGTTGGAATATGCCAATTAACTATGTACATTTGTAACGAATCTAAAACGAAAGATGAATTAATACGTATTCAACGCACAATTGGGGTGAGATCGCCTACCTCTTTGAGCTTGTTAGCATAGACTTGGCCACCCAAAATTCTCTCCCCGAACAACAGCACAGCCTCCTGAACTGAACGGAACGGGGCACTCGTGTCGATCTCAGCCTTCTTCCCGCCCTCCTCCGCTCCTCCTATCACGGCGCCACCATCCATCGATTTCAAATTATGTGTCTCTGTCGTGAGATAAATGACAAAATGACAGGTAAAGAAATAAGAAGAGGAAGAGGTTAATAAACTGTTCATGTGCTGAAGAGCTTCGTTACTTCGCGTCTACTTCACTGGATAGTGGTGCATAAATTCTGTTTGTCTATGTACAAATGAAGCTAAAACAATTTTTTAATGGGCTTTCATCTTTTTACTTGTTCCTTCTTGATGACGGCCCATGTTTGGTGAACAGGTTAGACCCATTACTATTGGCCCACTGACTTCATCCACCCAATGTCAACTTCACACCGGACCATATGTGACCAGCATTTGCTTGGCCATATTGGTAAAGTGCTTTGGTTCTCTTAAGCGAGATCTTGAATTCGAGTATCATAAATAGAAAGAGCAATATTGGGAGAGTTTTTCCTCCGAAGGAAACCGACCCGGCACAGAGCGAATTAGTCTGAGTGCAATGCACTTAAAACACCATGCACAGTATATAAAAAAAAACACACACACACACAACAGACCATGTGTGAGATTTTCCAACTGAACCTCAAATACTGGTTGGAGAAATCATTCAGATTAAAAATAGATTATATAAATGTAGGAGTATTTGAGAAAGGTTGATCGGGTATTTATAATATGTTTCTGAAAATAATAAATAAAAAAAAATGTTTGGTACTGTTTGGAGTTTCACCAAATTTGTATAATTGCTTTTTATTAATATATTTAAGTCCACATGCAGTATGCGTGTGGACTTTTTTGCTCAATCTTTTTCTTTTTTTCTTTCTTTTTTTTTTAACTTGAAATAAAAAATTATGTCGATATATTAATAAACTATGATTCTTAAATCGAGTTTGTATTACTTTCTCATATAAGTACTCGTCCATTTCGTAGAATTATTTTTCGTATATTGAACTTTTTATACGAAATAGGACAAATATGATAATAAATAGTTTATAGTTAGGCGGCCTTTAGTGTTTTTATCTCTAAACTAAGCGGCTTCTAGCAAATGAATGAGTACTAAGTTTCAAAATTGAACAAATAAAAGCTAACAGAAATGCCATGCTATATTATTATGATTTCTGTTAAGTTTCCCGGATTGAAATTGAACACTTAGATCCAGCATATATAGCATTTCATTGATATAGTATTTCTTCTATATGAAAAATCACACCATGATTGGTATTTGCTCGATAAGGGAAAAACATCTTTGGTACTCCCTCTGTCCCATAATTATTGTTCAGTTTGAATTTTTATTTTTAGTTTAAATTATACTAAAAATGAAATCTCAAACTAGACAATAATTTTCGAACAGAAGGAGTATTAGAAAATGTTTGTTATTTTTGTTTCATGTGACAAGGAGTATTAAATTATGTTAACAGATTTTATTTTTCTACTATCAAATTTGTACTGGTCTGTACTCTGTATACGAAATGAATAGATCGTATCCTCTTCGTCCTAAAATTATTTTTCAATTTTGAATTTTCGCTTTTAATACTAATTACACTGAGAATGAAAATTAAAACTGTACAATCATTTTGGGACACAACGAGTATATGAATGATTTCATCAATATGTTAAACTTGTAATCATTCATCCTCTTTATAGATCCATATAGGGTGAGAATCAAAGTTTTGATCTTCTAGAGAGATTCTGAGTGGCCTAACTACGTGAATTAAAGTTGTTTCCGAGCATATACTCCCTCTGTCTCAAAATTATTGTCTACTTTGAGATTTCACTTTTAGTACAATTTGAACTATAAATAAAAACTCAAACTAGACAATAATTATGGGACGGAGGGAGTATTATTCTTTTATTATAAATATTATTATTACCATTTGATGGATTCACCAAATGACTCCACCAAACTCTATCTGAGCATAATAAAAACGGGACATTCTCTCCATTTTTGGAACGGCGAGAACAAAGCAAAAGAATGACATGTTCTGTCCCCATCGTCTTGTCCGCCAATCCTTCAAATATTTCAACTGTGTGCATGGGACTCTCTTTTGGTTTTTGGGTCCCGCTTCTAATCCAAAACCCAAATCTTGTTTTCTACAAAAACAAACCCACCAAATCAGAACTAAATTAAATTAACTAATCCTCGCGTAAAAGCCATGAAAGTTAACGAACATTAATCCGTACACTATGTTGTAAGAAACAAAGAAGATATAATAGTTAATTTGTGTGCTTAAACACTTAAACACTTAATAGAATGGTTGATTAAGGAAGAAAGAAATCTAAAAACACTTGTTTTCAAGCTTTATTAGCTTCCCCTGTCACGGAATTAATAAATACAGTATATATGAAAACGCTCTCTGTAACGGTTACCATTTATTAAGTTCACCCAACTCTCTCTTTCTTTTCTTTCTTTGATTTCACCGACAGCAACAACAACAAAAAATGTCGATCGCCGCTGTTACCCCACCGGCTTTCCGATCCATCTATGAACGGCGATCAGCTGCAAAGGTGGTTGTGCCCGTATCGCGGCATCGGGTGATCATGGCCGTTCAATCATCCAGTGTGGTTTCAGCAGCTCCGATCCTAACCAAGTTGAAGAAAGACTGCGCTACTCCCCTGCCGGTGTTGCGCCACGTGGCAGACGCCATGGCCGCCGACATGCGTGCCGGCCTTGTCGCCGATGGTGTCAGCGATCTGAAGATGATACTCAGCTATGTTGATACCCTGCCAACTGGGTAAGTTTAATTTAGTGATAAAGTTAATTATACTTAAAATCATAATAGTTGTTCCTCCAAAGTTCGATTCTTTTTGTTTGATGAACTTAATTAATGAATTTTAGTTCGTTGTATTGTGCATTTAAGGTGTACTTATTTAAGGAATCAAAGCCAGTTTCATTTGAGATTATAAAGTGTAGTTCTGATTAATAGTAGTTATCAAAGGTTCAACTCACGATCTTTGTTCTATATGGAGTAAATTCACTGAGTTTAGAATAAATCAAGAGTATTAGAAAATGAGATAGCTTCATGGCTTTCCTTTTTAACTTTCTGTAAGGAATGAGAAGGGATTGTTTTATGCTCTGGATCTTGGAGGCACAAATTTTCGGGTGCTGAGAGTTCAGCTTGGGGGCAAGGAAGAGCGCGTGATTGCCACCGAATTCGACCAAGTCTCCATTCCACCGGAGCTGATGTTCGGAACTTCGGAGGTTGTCGTGTGTTCTGTTTCTTTCTTTTTTTAAAAAAATAAAAAATAAAAAATAAAAAATGTTAGGATTTTGATATGTTCAACCTTCTGCTGATAGTATGCACCATGTTTTGTCAGGAACTTTTCGATTTTATAGCCTCGGGACTGGCGAAATTCGCACAAACAGAGGGAGGAGACTTCTATTTGCCTCAGGAACGGACAAGGGAAATTGGATTCACATTTTCTTTTCCAGTGAAGCAGACTTCTGTGGACTCGGGCATCTTGATCAAATGGACCAAAGGTTTTGCTGTCTCGGGAACTGTAAGTGTCTATCTATTATTCATCAGTATTCCTGGATTGCAAAAAAACAAGACTTTCTAGTTGAAAATGTGAATTAGCCTGCAAAGTAATAGACGTTGTGATGAGACAAGAGATAGTTGCTGGAGCCGATTCTGTAGTTTCCTAATTGATTACTGAATTGGAGCTGCAAAACACTTTGCATGTCCAGATATCAAATTGTTTTGAGATCCTATTTACGTTGTCATTTCCTGTGAAATGTTCCTCTGTAAAGACTGTTGACTTCACCACTACTAGATCAAGTCCATTATACTGTTCTGTGTTAATCAACTGAACATTTGTAAATGGAGATTCCCTGAGTTTGTTTCAGTGTTTCTGCTTAAAAAGGTTACCAGCAAATGCTAGGTCATTTGATGGATATTGTTCCGACATTTCGCCTTTATAATGTTTTTGATGCAAGCCTTGTTGACCACAGGCAGGCAAGGATGTGGTTGCTTGTCTGAATGAAGCTATGGAAAGGCAAGGATTAAACATGCGGGTTTCCGCTTTGGTACATCACTCTCTTTTCCTCTAAATAATGCCATATGAGAACTGACATTCTCCGAAGTCATTGTTTTTCCAGTTATTAACTTCCTGTGGTTGGTGTATGTTGTCAAGTCAGGTCAATGACACTGTGGCAACACTCGCTGGTGCTCGATACTGGGATGATGATGTGATGGTTTCCGTAATTCTTGGAACTGGAACTAATGCTTGCTATGTGGAAAGTATAGGTGCTATTCCTAAATTACAAAGCAATGATTCAAAGTCGGGAAGAACGGTTTGTCAATTCTCAATATGTTTTTTTTTTCTTTATCAAGTCTCTTCCTCAACCATCCAAAAGCATGTCTTTTACTTGCTACATTGTGTTTCAGATAGTAAACACTGAGTGGGGAGCATTCTCAAATGGCCTTCCATTGACTGAATTTGATAGAGAAATGGATGCTGAGAGTATTAATCCTGGTGAGCAGGTTAGCTCCAAACTTTGTTAGTGATTCCGATTGCCGCTCTGCAAGTCATCTAATGAAAATGTGCAAAATATCATTGGCGCAGATATTTGAGAAAACAATTTCTGGTATGTACCTCGGCGAAATTGTAAGAAGAGTGCTCATCAAGATGGCTCAAGGCGGCGAATTATTTGGCAATTCTATTTCAGAGAAACTAATGACTCCATTTGCTCTCAGGTACATAAAACAGCACATCGTGTTGTAGTTTTTAAGCGATGAAGAAATCTTATTGGAGACATAATGACTTGTTTCAAGCGTGTGTAATCTTAGTGATATGAACCGGATAGAATTTAGAAAAGCGCAGCCTTCTGGAAATGCTCTTTCGATTTTTAGTAACAAGAAGCAATTCTTTTTGTATTTTATACTACCCTGACTATGAAGTGGGGATATCAATATTTTCTCAAGTACACCATTTCAGATGTACAATGTCCTTGAGTTCAATCAAGTGACAAACTTACTTCCGATCTCAAAAATCTTTGCAATGCATTTTGCAGGACTCCAGATATTTGTGCCATGCAGCAGGACACTTCAAAAGATCTTGGCCATGTTGGATCAATCCTTTATGATGTACTTGGGGTATTGTTCCTTCATTCTTGTTTCCTAGCTCAATGTTGATTGACATACTTGCAATCATTTTCATTGTCATTCAAGATAGTGTGAATTAACTGCTCAGATCTCTGCAAAATGTAAAGACAAACAAATAAAAGGTGCCTAATGTTAAGTCAGTGCTCATCATGGGCATTTCCGACACTTAAAAATTGATGTTTCATGAACAATTATCTCAATCATGTCATTAGGTAAGCTCCAATACAGCCGAAAGGCAGATTGTAGTGGAAGTATGCGACACGATTGCTGAACGTGGAGGCCGCCTAGCGGGTGCCGGGATCGTAGGGATTTTGGAGAAAATGGAAGAGGACTCAAAGGGTCTCATATTTGGGAAGAGGACAGTAGTGGCAATGGATGGAGGGTTATATGAGCATTACCCACAGTACAGATCATACCTCCAAGAAGCAGTCGATGAACTTTTAGGATCTGAGATTTCGAAGAACATAGTGATCGAGCACACGAAAGATGGGTCTGGAATTGGGGCTGCTCTATTAGCTGCTACCAACTCCAAGTATCCTCATGATTTCTAGCCAACTTTTGAATGTTGATTTTTCATGTAATTTAGCCTACTAAAGTACAGCATTTTGCAAGGAGTTCATTAGAGAGACATAGGGAATGAAATAATGTGTGTGTTATCAATTTGTGGGAGAGCTCTAAATCTGAGTCATAAGCTTGCTTCTTGTACTATAATACGATGTAGCCATTGTAAGTAGAAGGCTCCAAGGAAAAATCAGCTTCATTGTAATAATACAATTTGTTGTAATGTTTTAATCCAACATAAATGTTAGTTAAAATGTGATAAAGAGAAATCGAAAATATGGATGAACACTTCAAGCATTTTAGAGTAAGGGTTCATGAAGTTTTGAGATTTCGTTTTAGTAGAAACTTGTTACATCCCCCGGAAATTATGTATTTATTAAATTAAAATAGTTATCATATATGATTTTTTAAAAAAAAATGTTATTTTTTTGATGAAAATATTTTAATTCGATTTTATAATATACCCTTTTTTTTTTGGAGCGTACTTTGATTTTTTGCATATAATATTGACAAAATAAAAAATCATTTTACGTGTTACATTTTGTATTAAGACAGAAAAAAATTGTATTCCATTTATTTTAGGAGAAATAAAATAAAATAAAAAGGGAATATAAGGTATATAGTCAAAAGCCGCGACTTTGACCTTGGACTTTCTCTTCGCCACAAGTTTCCATTAGTACCCCTCTGCCATTACTGAATTGGTCCTCCTGTTGTTGCCCCAAATTCCGTCGACCTGTTTTCCTCCGCTTCTCAGCTCAATCGATATCGTCGAAAATGGTGAGCTTCTTGGGCTACTCAAAAACAATCTTCGTATACTGATCTTTTTTTCCTTTTTTATTAAGCTTTAGATTTTCTTCTTTGATGATTAACTATATAAAGTTCACCCTTTTCCTTTTCCTCTGTGAAATCTTTGTGAATGGTAGATCCGATTCATTCTGCTCCAGAACAGGCAAGGCAAGACTCGTCTGGCCAAATACTACATTCCCCTCGAGGAATCCGAGAAGCATAAGGTGGAATACGAGGTAACATTACGATACTTTTTTTTTCTTCTCTTCGCCCAAATTATTTCGTGATTTGAATTCAGTTTGTGGCTTCGGGGAGAAGGTTTGATCGTATTGTTTTTCTTATGTTTAATGGTTAAGTATAGGTTCATCGGTTGGTCGTGAACAGAGATCCGAAATTCACTAACTTTGTGGAGGTAATTTTATGTTTCTTTTTTCCTTCAAAAATTTTTGCTGAAAATTTTCTTGTTTTTTAGGTTAAAGCCTCTTGCTTGACTAAGTTATGGAGATATGAGATTGATTTTCTTACAACTTGGAAGTAGAATGTTGGTGATAGGAATGTTTACCTTTTTTTTCGCTAAACAAAATGATCAAGGGTGTTACTCGTTTCGCTGAACTAACTTGGTTGTGTGTGTGTATTTGTATTACTTCTGAAGGTGTCGAAATTGAAAAATTTTAACTACTCAGCATCTGGAAATATAGGACACTGTTTTGCTTGCTTGTTTCTGGTTGTTAGGGAATAATTTGAAGAATGAGTGGAAGTCTGTTAAAAGTAAACATGGAACTAGAAATGTTATACATTAACTCAAAAGTGTACAATAGATTTGCATTCTGGACCTTAAATGCTAAGTGAACGGTGTTCAGGAAACATGTTTTGCACCAGCTGCACCAAAAAGTATTTCGTGTTGTTGTGCTGATGTTTTATAACATCACCATGAACTACATGGAGATCTTAGATGAGATATTAATTCTATAAGACCATTGGACTCGGAAGAAACACCACAACAGGTGCTTTCGATGTATTCTATTTGTTTGTTGTATTGAGCCTTTACCACAACACATCATACGCTTGTAAAGGACACTGCTTTCACTTGCTTGTCGACAAGCATCATTTTTGTCTAGATTAGATTTGTCTATAAATACATGAATGCTGAACGCCTTGAAAGTATTGGCACAACTTGTGTTTTCTCGTCTTTGGGGTTTTGTTGTTCACCATGAAGTTTTGACCTCAACTGTATTTATCTCTTTACTATGCTGTTACAATTTTTATGCAAAGCAATTAGCATGAACATCTATATTCCCTGATGAACTTTTATTTTTTCTTGCTATCAGTTCCGCACCCACAAAGTTATCTACAGGCGATACGCAGGATTGTTTTTCTCCTTGTGTGTTGACATAACAGATAATGAACTTGCATATCTTGAGTGCATCCATTTATTTGTCGAGATACTTGACCATTTCTTCAGCAATGTTTGTGAGCTAGATTTGGTGTTCAATTTCCACAAGGTACGTCATTTCACTTGTATATAATCTTGTTTTTTTCACTTTGATGGTTTTTTCCTGTGTGTAATCTTGCATTTGGCCTTTCAATCTTTTGTTTTGCCAGTCAAATCGTTGTGCTCAACCTTAGTGTAAGGTTTGGCGGATCGACAAATTTGACTTTCCCTTTTCACTTGTCACTTTGAAGATCAATCACAATATTAATTACTAGTCACAGTTCAACTTCAACATCTTCAGTCCATTCTGGCCCTTAGTTACTTTGACGTTTTCCAAACCTTGTATGTGCCATGACCATATGTAATGCCATGTGCAAGTCGAAGTGCTTTTTGGCTGTTGGTGCTAATGGAATGAAATCCTTAACAAACACGATCAATACTTTGGTTGCATCAGAATTTGACGGGAAGGCTTATTCGATTTTGCTCTGTGGCTGTCACAGGGGAATAGCTTGTGCATAATGTGTATTTGACTGGACTTTTAGCTGAGAGCTATACTAATAATGTCAGAAGGCAAAATCTGTCTTAACATGAATCTGACTTTTATAGGCAAAACATGAATCTAAGCTTTTACTTATGTAACCATTTGAAACTTTTGCGTGATTTTGGATTTTGGGAACCTCGGGGTTCAATTTCACTAAACGTTGAACTGTTTCTGCTTCTGTCTTGAAGGTGTATCTGATTTTAGACGAGTTTATTCTTGCCGGGGAACTTCAAGAAACAAGTAAAAAGGTAAATCTTGTTCCAGACCTCTGTTACCTCTTCGATGAGTGACAATTTATCATGGTTGTGTGAGATTTTTAAAGCTCAAAATGGCATCCCTGAATCTTGCATTTAAGTTTCTTCTTCAATTGTCCTAGGCTATTATAGAGAGAATGGGAGAATTGGAAAAGCAGGAGTAAGGATTAATTTTGCAGCAGCAGTTTCATGCTCTCAAGAATTACCCCGCGGCCTTTTTTCTTTTCTCTCTCGTTTTTTTTGCTCTTTTCATTTACTTTACGTTTGTTCATCTCATTACATGGATAGCTTCTTGTTTCAGCCTTTTATTGTGTATAGTTCTTCTGTCATAGTCCTGTTGGAGGTGGTTGTGCATTTCTGACAATTTCTCTCTAAGGATATCTTTATACTGTGTATTCATTGATTTTTGATGGGTTTGTGCGTTTCCAAGTTTCTTTGTTTGGGATTGAATAGCCTCGGAAGCAACCTTTTCCTTTTAGTAGTTGGTAAAAGAAAGCCACAAGCTTCCGGTGTAGTCTGTTGGATTCCATATACTTGGTCGAGATATGTCTTGCCAAAGCAAAACGTAACGGAAACAAACTAAAACAAGTTTATTTGGTATTCAAGATTTACTATGTTTTGAATGATTTCCAACATATTATGAATGAAATTTTTCTTCGCAAAAAAAAAAAATCCCAGTGATAGTTAAGACTAAACAAAGAAGATGTACCGTATATGTATATATATCATTTGTGAAACTAATTCTAATGTTTCAACACAAACAATTTTTAAATTTTAACCCATTAATACGAAATACGATTGGTTGTGTTTCTACTATTTCATGGATCTCTTGAAATGGTTCTGTTTTGAGATACGCAAAGTTCAAAATGTGATTTCAATCTGTGAATTTTTTATTTTTTTTTTTCTACGTTTTTAACCAAATAAATTTACACAAATTGAATGCATACGGACGATGAATTGATGTATGGAGTTGGTTTTTCAGCCTTGTCTGTTTCCAATTTTGGTGGGGGCCGGTGGCCATTCTTTTTGGAAGGAATTTTTTTGGGCCTACTTTGAGGATTCAAAGCCTACTTTCGAAATACTTTATAGCGCCTCAGACTGAACCTTTCCTTTCTTTTTTTTTTTTTTTTGAGAATTTCAATTCTTTTCCTTGTCAATTTTTTTAAAATTATTTTTTGACGAAACAAGTTTTTTTTTTTTTCTTTTTTAAGAAATCTTTCTGTAATCAAACATATGGTTATAGTCTGATTTAGGAAATTAAAAGTTGATTTCTATTTGTATTTGGTTTTAGTTTCTTTTAGGGCTATAAATATTGTAGCAGCTGTCGTTATAGTTTTAGTTATTCTTGCTTTCTTACAACTTAACTACTACTACTACTACTATTGTCCACTTATTACTTTGAATTTCTTTTTTCCTCAGCAGCGCCTAATAGTTGATTAAGAATATAACTATTAATTTACGATTTATATAAACAGCTAGCGCCATGCCCAAATCAGGGAAATCTATCTCCGGAAGAAGTCATTAGGAAAAAAGCCACACTATGGAAGCATTCATGGCCCTGCTAGCCAGTGACGAGAAGGAAAAAGAAAAGGTGTGCAGGGAAGAGGTGGATAGTAATTGGAAAAGTACTACGAGATGATGCACTGAGCGAGGGTTTTGGTATTACTTGGGCTCCTCCTAGTGATCGTGTTATGCGTATAGAGTAAAATGTTGAAATGGTCCCTTACATTTGCCCTTACTTGAATTTACGTCCCTTATATTAATATTTCAATATCGTAGTCCCAAACATTATGTTTTCACACTTTTTTGGTCCCATTTTACAGTTTCGACCACATTTCCGTCCAACTCGAAGTTGACCGGCCGTTGACTCGCCGGGGTCAAGGGTATTTTTGTCCTTTCACGTAATGTGACCTTCCATCAAATTAAAATCATTATAAATATTAAAAAAGTCATATTTTAAATATTAAACGAGGAGGAGGATGATGACGAGGACATGGAAGAGGACGAGGAGGAGGAGGAGAAGGATGAGAAAAGGGTGTTATTTTGTTCGACAAAAGACGAGGTAGAATCAGGTTGGAAGTTGGAGTTGCCCTGCCAACTTTATTGCTGTAGTCCGGATAACATGTACGGTGTTTTCGCTGATACCATCTTCCAGATATACACGAGTGCGCGCCGAAGAGAACAGGCCGATTGGGATCTTCACGTGAGAAAATATATTGATTCTGTGTAGTAGTATTCTTCCACTGTGTCGAGACTTTTTTTAAGGTTTTATGTTACTACCAGTATTAAATAATCAACGAATTATTTAGTACTACTTTTTTAGCCACGAGTCAATATAAATTGTGAATACATGCCGCATTAAACGGAAAGACTATAAGGCTCAACAATATGAATATTCTTTACATCACTGAAATGTTTACTACCATTTGCAGTTACTAAGGACAAGATTCTGAACTATACCGGTTTTCTGATTAAAATGAAAGTATTATCCTTTTGTTAAAATTCTGGTATCCTTTTTTTCGCATTTAAATATACTGATTGCAGATTATCTGCAGTGATGGATTATCAGGTCTTACAACACGATCTGCATTTGCTTCAAAGACAGAAGGCAGATGATGATACGGTCCTTTCGTTGTTGAAGAAGGCAACAGGGCATTAGCTTCATAGACAGAAGGCAGATGATGATACAGTCCTCCTTTGCTTATCGAAGAAGGCAATAGGGAAGGGGCAGATATAAGCTGCTGTTGATGTTGTTGCAAGATTAAAGGATATCTGGAGCCTAGTAATTCCAGTGAAGTTTGCTGATGTTGCGGGAACAGAGGGATGCCAGGCCTTCCAGGTTGCTTATTCAACTTACTTGGTACAACAGCTCCAGGCTCGAAATTAGCCGACAATGGTGGAGGCCGGTTACAGTTTTGCTGCTCTAGCGGCTGTACTGACAAGGCGTTAGCATCTGTAAATGGAGGTGCATCTGATCCACTGCCAAAGTAAGGAGGTAACTGGACCTGTAAGAATGCTCCCCCAAAAGGAGGACAAAAAAAATTAAAGATCAAGTGTTTATGGTAAAAAAGATGCTGGTATTTGATAAAGCTTGTTCAACAATCAATGAACTAGTTGTTTAAGGAAAATACTACTTGATCAACTAAGGCTCAATAATCATTGAAAGAACACAATCGTCATGCTTTTAAAATGTGGCCGAGTTTTCCTACTTAACAAAAAGTATGCTGGAGACATTTCTGTGGCAAGCCAAGACAAGAGACTGCAGCATGTTTGTGAAAGTGAAAAGGGATGATGCAAGCTATCCACAGTTGATGATGTTGCAACAGAAAGCTGGAAGGAAAGATTGAATATCCAAGCAAGTTCATTCAGATAAAATTCAAACTGAACTGTGAAACCATCTTAGCATTTGTCACCTGCAGCCCTGGAGCCATGGGACAATGGCCAGAAGAAGAGGTAGATGAGTAATGATTCTGGGGCACTTGAAATGGAACATAAACTTGATTCCTGGACTGCAGGCAAGGAAAAGGGGCTGAAATTGATGCTTCCAAAGAATTTCTTGCTCTATTAAATCCAGTACCAGTTTCCATACGAGCGCCTCCAGCAGGCATGGTTAAGAAACCTAAGCTCTGTAGAGATAATAAATGACACTCAAATTAAGAATTGGTATCAGGAAAAAAGAAACACTTATATGGTTTTTCTGTCACCCACCTGGTTCTGTGCATTGAAGACATCATATGGCTTAGAAGCCAGCTGCTGATCTTTAACAAGCTTCTTGTGCAAGAGAATAGCATTGTCAACTTCAGTTGCATTCTTTCCAGGAGAGACATCAAAGATATCAGAAGAAATGACTTCAATCAAACAGTTTCTTTCTCTGGTTTGATCAGTCTCAGTTCTACTGGCCCTTTGAATCGGTACTTCATTTATTGTGGTAGACTGTATCATTGACCGATCATTATTCACATCTCTATCTTGAAATGCCTTAATGAAGTGGCTGATATACACATGAGCAGTACATCTTTTGTATGACTTCTTTGAATGAGTAGAAAACGGAGCGCCCTGGACAAAGAAATTAAGATACATCTGAATGTCAAGCTTAGTAATCCAGACAGGTGGTTTCTTCAAAGTGTCAGAGAACATTACTGGAGTACCTTTTTAGCTATGACATCGGTTTTTAATGATGACGATTTTGAAGAGCGACTAGTATTGTCAATCCAAGCTGGAAGCTTGCTCATGTGAGACCTACAGAAGCTTTGACAAGTCAGTAAGCAGCGAAATGTCACAGCAACGCCAATAAAGAACTTGCTTATAGAAAGGAAAATTACTGAAAGGGAATGCTAAGCCTTTGACTATCTTCACATAACACTGCAGAAGATAAGTCTGGCATCAACGGTGAACCTGTTTCAGAAGGAAAATATTTATGAACAAACATCAAATTGAGATCTAACAGAAGCACAATTGTCTCATTGTCCCTTGGAATTTATGAAGAAAAATCCATTTGAATACGAACTATTAAGTCATACCATTTATCCTGGTTTTGGTATTTGTCTGTTGATCCTCAGTTTTATCACAAGCTTCAGCAATCTGAAAGAAAACCCAAGTCATGATTTCTAGTGTTAGGTTTGATCTGTTTCTCACAGACAAATAAAGGAAATTAACTACAAATGCATACTGGTGGCAACACAATCTCTTGACTCTTGTAGGTGGCTAGGCTTTTCTCGAGTGTCGTCAACTTTGATCTGCAAAACAGAGGTGTAAACAGAATTTCTACGAGAAGTAGAGACAGAAATACTGAGCAGTCGGAAATAACCAATACCGTGTCTTTCTCAATTGACTCCACACACCAGAAGCGGAATCACATACTGCTTGTTGATTCTCTGAAGTGAAAGCTGTGAAGTGGAGATTTACTTCAGGAATATCACTATCATTCAGACATGGAATTCCGCAACCAGCAGAACCTGTTGCACTGGATTGAATATTAGGCATTTTGCCATCACCATCCTCATCATTAACAGTCTGAAGCTCACCTTCCCTCCTGGCTATTGATATTTTCAATGACAATTATTAAGCGTCAGCAAACATAAGTATATAGAAATGAATGTTTGAATAACAAGAGACAAACCTTCAACAGAAGGTACAAAAATCTCAGCTTTGGTCAAGGTTGAAGATTTTGCTCCCGACCCTCCACCAGCCAAGTTATTCTCATCAGTTGTTGCATTATTTGAGATTAAACCAGAAAGAGCAAATAATGCCTCTGCTACTTCTTCCTCATCCTTCGTAATTACCTCCACCTGTTTCTGAGGAACAAAAAAAAAGGAATACAAATATCATCAGCATAGAGCTGATTTGTAATATACAGCTCCTATTCTGTTGTTTTTCTGTAACGGGATACAAGAAAAATCTATGATTTATGAAGCTCAACAATCTGACCATTTTCAGTTTGGATTTCTTTAAACTATCGTTGTGTAGTAATCGATCCCCATCAGCCACACGGTTAAGCTTATTGGAAACTCTCAAAGGTTGAGAAATGGATTCACTGCTTCTCTTCTTCGTGGCTGTGTTCAATATGGTACAAGATTCTCAGTCATTGACTGGTACATATGACATACAAGAGACTCAAAAATCAAAAGCCACTAGCATAGACAAAGGAAATGTCTGAAAAGGCCAGAACTCAAACTCTCAAATGATGCCAGAAAAATCCAAGCTCATTTGCGTTATACATACACAAATGATATATTGCAATAACTGAACCACCAAAACAGGAGAAATCAAGACCCACAGAATCTCTACTTGCTTGGAATCAAGAAAAGGTAAAAGTACAAAACCCACTATGAAACCGGCATATGAAAAAAAGAAAGGAAACAAAAAGGTACGAGGGAACTTCACTCCACTCAGGGTCGGGGGCCAATACAGAAGAACAAAAACGAAAGATGGAAGCAAGTGGGATCCACCAAGCGGTAATAAATCATTTCAATTGGTTCATTGGTTGCTACAAGTACTACCTGATGATCTTAATCTGCGAGGAACAGAGACATGGCAAACTGTACTGCATTCCTCGACAAACTGCAAAAGAGAAAAGGTATGAAATTTTTCTGAGCCAATTGGGAGTACTAATAATAATACAAACACTCTGTATCTCCGGAATGTGAATTAATCATCAGACAAACATGAAACCAAATTCGTTACCTTTTTGGGAGCTTCAATTTGCTACAAGTACGAAGCTCATCTTCTTCTTCAGTATCAGACCCCACAGAACCCATTGTTATTCCCCGCTTCCCTCCTGGGTCTCTCCCACTCAGTTTCTTTCTGAGATTATTTTCTGTTCTTCGTTTCTCCAAATCAGCAACATCCACACGGCCAACAAGAGAATCTTTCCCAACAGAAAAAAAAAAAAAAAAAAACAAAATCAGCACAACCCGAAAGAGGAAATCAAACAAACACAACCCAGAAGGACTAGGATAGAGGGATAATCTGGAAACTAGAAATATCGGAGGTAAATAAAATAAACAAAAAAGGATAAGCCCAAGAAAAGGCAAAAACTTAAGGCAGTGCCGCATTTATGGCAATTGTTGTTTTCTATAACAGTAAAAGATACGTGTGGTAATAACTTGCATGTATGGAAATAGAGATTGACGACGACAAAAAAAGAAAAGGCGACACTGACATGAACTCATTGAATAGGAAGCATCAGCATCAGCAATCCAGCAGCCTCTCTGGGATTTTTGGAAGGGCCCAAATGTTATTTACGCCGGAAATTTCAATAAAATTGGTTTAATAATCACACAAATACGCCATCTCCACCACCAGATCTTTCTCTTTATTCAGCCAGTCTCCCCGTCGCCGGCCCAGTAAGAATCACCTTACGAATAATTCATCAGAGAAGAAAGCAGAAATGGAGGAATAATCAGAATTCAGAAATGGAACAGAGTGGTAAAAAGAAAAAAAACGTATCACTCTGCCACCCCAGTGTGTGAGTGTGATTGTGTGACTGTGTGCTTTATTATATGTAACCGCAAACTTAGCCGGAGAGAGAACCCGATAAAGTTGGGTATGACAATGTACTAAAAAGGGCTAAAAAGTGAGTACTAAAACAGTAGAACTAGCAAATTTGGTAATGGGGGAAAAAGAGGGAGAAGAAAACAAGAGGAGTCAATTCAAAGCCACATATTTCTGCGCTTCTTCCTCCTCGTTTAAGTCCTCTTCCTCTGTTTCCTATTCTCCGACTATGTCTCTATCTAAAATCTAATCAATACAGCACAATAACATAACACTAAAAACAACTCGGCCTAATGGGAAAACCATGCTATTTGAATATTGATTGACAGAGTATTAGATGATCGGCTACCATGCAATCAAAAACAGAGCAAGCATTTTCCAATCCACTCCATTAAAGATAACAACAAAAAGGGCCTCCTACACTTCCAATGAAATTCCTAGATTACCTACCTAATGGTGGATTGAAATGAAGAACTGGGCTGGATTAAAAATGAATAATAAGAATCATAGTACAAAAATTAGAAAGAAAAAAAAAAGAAAAGAAAAAGGAGGAGGTGGATTTATTGGGGATGGTAACGAACTTGGGAGGCCAGTAATAATGGAGTCTGGAAACGAGGTGAAAAATAATGATGATAGTTGAGGAAGAAGATACAGAGAGAGAAAGATCGCACTTTTTCTCCTCCCTCTTTCCTTTATAACTGACTGGCCACACTTCTGTTATTCTTTTTTTTTTTTTTTTTTTACTAACTACTATCAGTAATATAAGTAATAGTTACTGCCTTGCAGGAAAAGTCGTTTTATTCCCTCATTTTATTCTTTTTTCCATGAGTTTAGAGACCGGTGGATCGATTACAGATTACGTCAGGATGTCATGTATCGGACGGTGGATAAGAAAGGATTGAAAAAGTGGGGGATGAAAAGGAGGAAAGATATTTGGCGCGGTGAATCGCCGCCGGAGGAGGTGGCATGGGATGTTAGGAGGTGACACGTGTGAGGCATTTGCGGCTCAAATGTGCCAGAATATATGGAACCCTCTTCGCTCATCCCCGCCCCCGGCTGGGTGGTTTTGAGTCCCCAATGGACTTTATGTATTTGTACTTTGCCTAAAATCTGTCATTCGCTTGTTTAACCATTTTTAAGAGAAGTTATTAATTATCGATTGAATCTCTCTATTTTGATTTGTTATGTGTAACACATTTTCGAAGATTTATTTGTAAATTCTTAGACCTTAGGTAATGGCTAAAATCGAATTATTACTACATTTTCACGGAAATGTTACCTAACCAAGAGAACTTATAATGAAAAATACATCGCTCCTGCCCTTAATGGTTCAACTCAACTATAGATTTTGGCCTAAAGGAGTGCAAAAAAAAGTGATACTCCCTCCGTCCCATAATTATTATCCAGTTTGAGTTTTCATTTCTAATTCAAATTTTATTAAAAGTAAAATCTCAATATGAACAATAATTTTAAAACAGATAGAGTATAACGTAATTTGTCACATGACATAACCAATCTTCCTAGAATTATGGATTTAACAATCACAATTTAGTAGTTCCCGACTGTCAACATGGGCTGCTGAATCAATTAGTACCGCGTTTCTATTATTGGTATCCTCTGTAACCAATGTAACTTAATGTAAATAAATAAATAAATTTACTTATGGTGCTGTAATTGGACAGAGGTAGTAGATCATTCATTAAATAAACTATCATAAGAACATCAAGTGGTATTTTGCGAATAACTATAGTTTAAAAAAGGACATTTTTATTGTGTTTTTTTCTTTTTAATTATTGAAGTAAAGGAGATTTTGTTTTGGGGGTGGGGGGAATTATGATAAGCTACTTCTGAGTACTGACTGTCACTGATATGTATGGATTTGATTCCTCGTCTAGAGGTAGCTGTTGTGGTACTAGAGACTAGAGACTAGTAGCTATATAGGCTGCATTATGAAAATAAAAATAGTAATAATTACAGCACTATTTGCATATCCCATCCCATTAGTATAAAGGTCACAATTGGTGCGTGACTAGATTTGGTCCCCAAAATTTACATTCCAACATGAAGACCTGGAGATTTTCAGATTTGGTTCCCTTCACTTGGTTGAAAATTGGAATATCTAGTGAGCCAAAAAAAACAAAAAAAAAAAGAAAAAGAAAAGAAATATCTCTTTATCCAAAAATATAAATTAAAATTGAAATATCTCTCCTTAGATTTGCTCTTTTATTTTTGTAATTATTAATTTCGTTTTCGTTTAAATGCTTAATGTGTGAAAATTTGATTAATTAAGTACAACACCTCCCCCTCCCCAGAAAACAAACAAAAAAAATTGTTGTTTTGGAAATGAATAATAGTTGTGACTTTTTGATTTTTGTTTTAAAACAGTAGTAATAACTAATAATAATTGAAGGCCAACCACACGCAAACATTTCGTCGGGCCTTGGCATTTTGGGTTCAAATTTTGTGAGTTTGAGACGGTGGTCATACCATTCAAACCAAAAACACACAAACTTTGTATATACACAACAAAGACCATTCTGTTTATTAATTTAACAACCCAAAAGCAGCTTAAACGGCCCAACTTAATAATGTAGTAATACTAGAGAAACACCATCCACTTCCTTTCCACAGCTTAATCTTCTTCAATCGACAATAATTATTAGTACCGTTTTGTTTATATATCAAACTTTGTAGGCAAGCCTTAAAATTTAAGGGCACTTTCGCTTGCCACCGTGAGTGGTCATGTTGGCATAGCAGGGGCAGACGTCCTGGTTGCCGGAAGTTCCCGGCGGCACACAGTGGCACCCGGCACAACACGTCCCGCATGCCCTTTTGCATATCTTTGCCCTGCTACTCTCCGAACACCTTGCATTACATGCTGAATCACAATCTGAATGAACCCAAAAAAAAGAATAAAAAAAATTAAGAAAATTATAAAAGATAAAAAAAATCCAAATCCCCACAAGTTCAGTTATTAGTACATGTTATTCAACATTTCAAGTACGATTTGTAACATAATTGTTATTAATTAGTAATTACTATCTTCGTCTAAAAAATAAAATACAAACTTTATAGCAAAACAGAAAGAGTAGTAGTATAATGCATATAATGCAAGAAAACCAACCAAAAAAAGAAAAAAAAAAGCATACTTATCATATTTGACTCTTTTTGAGTCAATTGAGATCCTCATGTTGGGTTAGATCATAATTCATTCGGTTGAATTAAGAAATTCAAGGCACGCAACAATGTATATGCTAAAAAAAGGAAGCAATAAGGACAGAACCTATATCGGTTTTTTTGAGCAGAGAAGTGCCAACTTCAAACTGCAGGCAAAAAATATTAAGGGGAAAAACAAAGTGTTAGTCGTTAAAAGAAATTGATCAAATGAAAAATTATAGCATCTGAGGAAGAGTCACCAAACCATTGAGAGATCATCCAGTATACCCGGAGGCAATATGTATCCCTCCTATTTTTTACATTTTTAGTCCTTATTGTACTTTTTATCAATCTTTCTATATTTTACAAGTATAGTCCTTGTCATTTTTTCTCTCTCTTCCAAAAAAAAACATCTCTAATTTTTCAACGAGCATATCTCCCAATCCGTGAAGAATTTGTGAATGAATTATATATGAAATTTATAGTACTCGTCGAGATCTATCCAACAAAATCCATAGTGAATATTTTTTCGGGCTTAAAAATGAATTAATTCTGATGGACAGAATAGGGGTGGATATCCACTTTTACAAGATGGATAACCAACTTGTTCTAAATTGGTTATCCATCGTGTTTATGCTGATTATCCAATCGGTTTGAAGTGGTTATCCATTTTGTTTCTACTGCTTATCCATTTGGTTATCCAACTTCTTAATTCAAAATAAGTTGGTTATCCATCTTCTCAAACTGGATATCCACTGTGTTCATGTTGATTATCCAATGCACTAATACTGGTTATCCAATGGATTTACATGGTTATCTAAATTATTTGTACTGGTTATCCACTGTGTTCATGCTGATTATCCAACTTGTTTGTACTGGATATCCACTGTGTTCATGCATATCCAAATCTAATCTTTCAACGAGTATATCTCCCAATCCGTGAAGAATTTGTGGACGAATTATATATGAAATTTATAGTACTCGTCGAGATCTATCAAACGAAATCCACAGTGAACATTTTTTCGGGCTTAAAAATGACTTAATTCTGACGGACAAAATAGAGGTGGTTATCCATCTTTTTTTTTTTGAAGAGTGAATGTCAAACATC